TCTTCTGTGCGGTTCAAGTTGGTCTCTGGGTTTGCCCAGTTTTTGCATACATAGCCCCTTTGAAGCTCTTCTTTTTACTTTCATCTACGTTCAGCTCGCACTACAGTTCTTGTTATCTTTTCTCTTCATCTTTGAAATGAATTAAAGTCATGATCATTCAAAATATGCTCTGATATGCAGCATGATGCTTGGGGTATCAATATTAGATTACAAGTAATAAAACAAACGCCGCCCAATGTAGACCTCCGTCGTTATTTCTGCCGCTCTCTCTCCTCGTTCCACAAGCCATCCACAATCTGGAAGACCTCGGTAACGCTGCGCATAACAGTATCATCAATCCCCAACGCGCTATAGCGATGCTGGATCTTATCGGGATGCCAGCGAATGCGCTCCGCCTTTAGCGTACCAAGCAGGTCCGCCGGCGGCGGAGCATGGCGCATGAACTCCTCAACAGCGTGAGGTCGAACATCAACCCTCTTCCCAGAGCGAACAGGCCAGAAGAGCAGATTGCGCAGCGACTTGGGAGCAGATTCCTCTGCAACCTTCCCAATAGTCTCCCACCTCTCCAAGTACTCAGCCCAGGGGGCACCCCACTCAGTCTTTGCTCTCTTGCGCTGCGCTCCTCGCCGTAGACTCTCGTCCATGGCACGTTCAAACTCCTCCCTCCCAGACTGCGCGTTCCTCTGAGCCTCCTCCTTCCTTTTCTGCTGCCGCTCAGCCCGCAGCCGCTCCTGCTCGGCTAACATACCCTCCCGTGTCCGCTCCCACATCCGTCGACGTACGTAGTCAACATATTCCTCCTCCGTCATCTGTTCTAGCTCGCCCTCCGGCCCGCGTTGTACGTCCGGGACGCGGTAGTTATGGATGGGCTGGCCGTAGACGGATTCCCAGTATGCGGCGCCTTCGTCGTCGCCGAGAGCGTCGAAGAGTGACTCGCGGAATGTGTCCGCTGTTGAGTTGAAGGAGTTTTCGTATGTCGGGTCGGACTTCTTGTCCTCGCGATGGTGTCGCTTGGACGGTTCACTGTCTCGTGTCCGTGATCTGTGACGGTGTTTCCGCTTTCGGTGAGGCTGACTCCCATCTTTGAAGCGAAATGCCCGGGTGTGGCCTGTCCGGGTATGATCTTTGGGGTCTTCGGTAGGTTTGGTGGCTCGAGGATGCTCTGCGGGGGGAGATGCCCCAGGCCCCTCGGTAGGTGTGGGGTTTGAGTTCATTATAAATTGTATTTTAGATGGCGGAGTAGCTCCAATTGGCAGACCTCATTGTTTGGGAGTTGTTGAGTCAAGTAAAACATCGGGTGAATGTCAAAAAGTTGAAGGAGCCAACCTAATCTGGAAAGCGGAGATAACGTGTCTTAGTCATCTTATCTCCACCCCCACATCTACAAGACCTCATCGAAGACATCGCCTCCGTAAGAAAGGCATTGAATGTATAAAATCTAAATTTGGGACACAGCTTCTGGACGATCATCGAGTCTTCATCTTCTGAGGGTGATTCTTTGCTGTACTTCCATGATCATGCGAATAACTCTGGTTGAGGGACCGATGGCTTTGAATGTATCATCGGGCAACGTCTCGAAACACTCGAGGTCTGGTTTTGAATCATCATATCAATGTTCTCTCGGTCGTGAGATTCTTTGGTAAAGAATCGAGAAAAAGTGCGCAGATTCTGAGATTAGTGGCTTCACGGTCGTTCGTCATCCTTACCATGACGATTAATACAATAACCCTTCCCCATTGCAGCAACTTTAGATTCAGTTATTTGAGCATCGTAGTGAAAAATTGTGTTATACTTTGAGGAAAAGCTAAGAATACAAGTAAAAATAGCTTCTTTGAAGGGCGTTCTATATATCTTGTTCCAATATCTCCTAGACATCTTCTTGATCTCGGAAATAACTCCGTAAAAGTATTCATCAAGTCCTTTGCCTTTCATATGAACATCCGAGGCTCCGAAAAGCTCTAGTTCGTAGAAATTGTTGAATTTGTGGCTTGCCAGTTCGATTTAAGAGAACGAGTGCATTTTTACCAAGATACTAGGTACAGGAAAGGAAAGAAAAGAAAACCATGTAACGGTTGCATTCTCCTGGTTTTGTATGATCGTCTTCTATGAGAAGAACCCTCGCTTAAGTTCCCCTTCAATTGAGGAAGGAGCGCTTTGTAAGACCCCTAGGTGTACCTAGATGCCTAAAGGAATACGTGGGGTGTAATGTAGGATCGGGGAATAGAGATGGTAGTATACGCAATAGTATAGTGGAACTAATACATAGCTGCTTCTCCAAAGAAGCAGCATACGAGGATAATATACAGGTTTATAGGTCACATAACCCAAGGGGCTGTGCAGGCAGCATACATTGCTCCTGTCTAGTCTACAGTCCCCCACGCACCATGACAGGTGCCATACTTCAGGCATCAGTCTTCTCATTACTGGGGTCCTGACAATATCCCCCTCCTTGTGGCATGCGGGCCCCGTAGGCTTGAAACAGGAGAGCAAAAGGGTATAATAAGGAAGCAGCTTAGTCCATTAAGACTCATACGTCTAAAAGCCGTGCAGTGAGGCAAAAGAGGTACGTAGGGAAAGGTATCTAGTATTAAGGCTCCAAAAAATATGAAATTATGAAATTCCCCGCCCTCCGGTGCGGCGTCGTCGTCTGTTGGGCCCCCGGCCTACAACTCCACCACCTCGCTGGGTAACCCCTGCGTCAAGAACCGCGCTCGTTTCCGGCGCACCAGTGAGAGCGTCAAATAATTCTTCGACCTCAGAAACCTCCTCTGCGGCCTCTGCGACTTCTGCGGCTTCTGCGGCGGCAGCGGCTTTTTTAGCCTTGTTCGCTGCGTGGGTCAAACGCTTGACATTTTGCTCAATAGCACGCACTTGTGGCACACGAGCAACCGCGGGCGACGCACAAAGAGCTGTGCGAGCGGCAGACTGAACCTCCGAGGGAATCTGCGTTATCGTCAGCAACGAATACCTCCCTGCAATGGCGCAGTCAAACTTACAGGAACGCAGCTGTGCTTCACAGAAGCACAGTAAGTACACTTAGTGCGACCTTCAAGGGTTTCGCACTCGTGATCAGGTTGGCTCTGCAACCTGAAGAAACACCGCTGGCAAGGGAGTGCCTCCTCGACAGTTCAGGTGTCTTACACGCTTCTACCAGAAGCAGAAGGTGCGGATGGGGAATCGGGCAAGTAGGAGGTCAGATCGTCACAGAATTGACAGTAGCTGCTGCTTCATATTGAGATGGTCTGACGTAGCAAGATAGTCATCCCGCAACTCCACCAGGAACTCTCGCTTGATACCGTCGGATATGGGGAGTCCAATCGTATGCCTGATTTATATCCCTCTGCCCGAATGCGTCGGGATCTTCTTCTCGGACACCAGCCTGTCCTAGCCGCTGGGCCGCTAAGGTCTCCCACCCCAGCAAAGGCTCGTCATCGGGGTGGGGGGGGGGATTCCTCCTGCGCCTCAAATAGGTTCTTGAGTAAAAGTTGTGATAAGCTAGGTCCAGAAATTGGAAGACACAGAAACGGGGATGGAGAGAGAAGCCACTTCTGCAACCAATGCAAACCCCGATATCTCGAAAAGTAGTAATCTCTCGAGAGTGAGTTCAGCGGCCCTCTCCCTTCGACGAGGACGCCTCGCCCTATGATGAAGACGCCTCGCCCGCTCGATCTCATCGCCCAGATCCTCCCCGTAAGCATGTATAAGCGCGCAGTGGTCGTACGCAGCCGCGAAGGAGGTAAAGTGGTTCCCATCGCATTCGAGTCGATTATTGATGACACGAAACGGATGGTGGAATATCAACTTGACACAGCCACTGTAAGAATGGATTCAAAATTAGGGTGACAAACGACCAAAACGACACCTAAGACCAAGGAAGACTTACCAATTCACACTGTTTCGTGTTCTGACCCAGTGTTAGCAACGCTTGTTGCAGTTTCATCCCATATATAGTTTATCTTGAATGGCTGATCCCTCTTGCCTTGTCCAATCGTGCAGAGCGATATGGAAGCAATGAAATATACAGGCTGTCTCTGAAGGGACCAGGTTTTTCGGCAGTTTGTGGTGGACTCAATGACTACCAGTGAGTGCATTAGTAGTAGCATAGTAGCGTAGTCTTGTCACCGCAAACCTGATGTCTGGTCTGATTTTGATTAGCCAGTTTAGCATACCGACCATCGTGTGGTAGTAGTCATAGTCGCCTTTTTGTATAACTTCGGCTTTGGAGATGATGAAAAGAGAACAAGAGCACTTTTATAACGGGGGCATCGCCTTCATCAATGTAAATATTCTTTTCCTTTTGATGTAGCGACATGCGCTGATCGGTATCAGCGAATCATGCAGATGTGACCTGTCACACTGATCCTTGCAGCGGTTGGGGATCGCAACGATAGCAACGGTGTTGATAGCGTTGGCCGGACAAACATAGTAGAGTAAACATTAAAAACAAGAGTGCGGGACAGGTCGAAGTAGAGAATGTAATTCTTACAACCTAGGACATCAGGCTAAGCTAGGTATCCATATTCAAGTCATTCTTTTATTCTTTTACTATTCTCCACAGCGGAGCTGTGCCATATGCATTCCCGGGCGCGGTCCACCTCCAGGGACTTGGTGCGATCTCCGATGCGCTGGTTGGACGCCGCCGATGGACCAATACCAGTGTCATTTCCGAGCTGGACGTTCTCTTTGGGGCCGATACCCATGCAGCCGAGGTCTTTATCCAGCAATAGCGCCAGCGAGCAGCGCAGGCATTTCTTACTGCATTCCAAGAGGTCCAGAGACTAGAGGCCTTATACTATGGAGCAAACTCCCTTTTTCGCCTCCGGGGACTGGTATGATTTTATATGGCCGACTAGGAATTCATATAGGCTTAGGGTGTGATTTACTTCTATACATATCGCAGATAAGGAATTTCAGTAGTGATTCATTTCTTCTATAGGATTCATTTCTAGTGCAGCTTTTAACTTTGATCATTGGCACCACGTAACAGGATTGATAGAGGCTTATTCGGGGCGCTTTGCAGACCGCTCACAGGGGCGGAGGTAGCGATTATCCCACAGCATCGCTTGACAGAGCTCCCGCTCGCTCACACCAACTGTTTCAGCGATTGTACAGCAGACCAAGCGCCAGTGTTCGTGGGAGAAGGCAGAGTTCGATATCTGGGTTCGGCGAAGCATGTCTGAAGCGAGCTCGCGGCTTCCCAGAGGCGGGATCGGTAGACAAATGGTCCCACAGTCGGGATATAGGTGATATTCTTCGGGGCTCACAGGCATCTTCGTCCAGTCAGTATATATATATATATATACACAGTGAAGTCGCAGGAGAGTGTAGAGAAAAAAGAAGGGGGTAATTTATAGGGCGAAGACATAAATCGAAATGAATAACCACGGTTTGTCTTGCGAAAAAAGAGATAAAGAGAGAAAGACATGGGGTTGAGAATCAATGGTGCAGGCTTGGTTATCTTAGAAACTGGTGGTCGTTGCACGGTCCTTGTATGAAAACTATGAAAGAGATTCATATTCAAAAGTGCCAGTTCGTTGTCTCTTATTTGCCTGGTCGCTTGCCAGCCATCATCTCGTCGCGTTATACTACGTAGTATAAGCTTGAAAACTCCCCTATAGAATGGGTGGATGTTTCCTTAGGCTCTTCTGAAAAAAGCGAATTAGAGCTGAAGTAAAATTACAGTTATAATTCTTTACCGCTGAGAAAAGGCTGTGAACTTCTTTGAAAAAGAATTGCGAGAGAAATATAGTTGAAGAGAAAGATTGCAAAAAGAAGATGAAAGAGAATGCAGGTCGCTTGGTTTTAGTTGTTATAGTTACTTCGTCCACTACCCTATGGAGCATCAGGATAACTTTGAAATGGTCTTTTTAGGAACAACGAGGTTGATCATTGACTGAAGAATAAGCCAGTCTGAGTCCATCAACTACTTCCAATGTTTTATCACGTATGGGTTGCACATAACACAATTCTATATTTGCGGCTAATTCCTCTTATACTCTAGCTACAGCATCAAATAAGGTGTCATATCTTTTTTAAAAAAATCCTTGGAAGACCACCACACCAGAAAGGACATTAACAAAGAGTACCAAAAGAGAATACCAAAAAGACATGACAAGGACTAGTAAATGCTTGTAGGAGTTTGGGTTGAGATAAGGTTATGCCAAGAGGGCGACGAGTGGGACTGGGATCACGTGGTATGGGGATACCAAGCTAGGAGATGATACGATAATCTGGGCAGCTCTCTAACATCCCCCTTCTTGGTGAACTACTTAGAAAAGTCAAGGGCTTGAAAGATTGATTGAATGTTGAATGTGCTTTGTTGAATAAGGTGAAAGCTGCAATATATCTGTACACCGCCATTCCCTAACCCGAAATCCAAGCCTTCTGCCCAAAACGTAATTCCATGTCCGAAAGAGCAGAGGATCAAATGCGATAATGCGCCATATTCTTCTTGATCTCATCCACAATCTCCACAGCTTCATTGGTACTCCTTGCCTCAAAGTCATAACGCTTCTGCTCCGTGGCATCATTGCCGCGCACAATCATCACGCGGAAGCTCTTGGGGTGCCGTCGGCTGACCTTAGATCCGATCACGTCACTGAAGCTGATCGATCGGGTCTTACCGCCGGACGCCGTTTTGCCCGTATCACCGGGCACGATATGCATATAATCATTCTCAAACGTGAGGATGCGATGGTTGGATGCTGTGAAAGACATGGGCTGTTTGCGGAACACGTGGTATCGGCGGTAATATCCGCCTAGGTGATCTTGCTTCTGAGAAGATGAGGGCAACATGCGCTGCGCACCCTTCTTGGCCTCCTTTTTGCTCTTCTTAGAAGTTGTCGGGTCTGCGGTGTCCACCATCAAAGGCGCATTTGGCGATGAGCTGCCTGGCGAGGTTCCGAGTGCGAGAGGCCCGCCGCCGAAGCGACGACGCACCAGATCAAGGTCGGTGATGTTGCCCAATGCCTCCACTGTGCGGTCAAGTGGTGCGATCGTGTTCGACCCCATCACCTTTAAGAGGTAGTTGCCCTTATCCTGGCCCCATCTTTTACATACAGAATCCAGAATCTCTGCTATATAGCTATCGGTAGATGTGTTGATGGTCATGACATGTGCGGAAGCCTCCATGTTGATGAAACGAATCTTCAATGTCTTGGATACACCAAGTCGGGGAGTCGCATGCGAGATAGGTACCACCGGGCGATCGGCAGGAGTAAGAGTGCTGTGGTTGAGTGCAGACGAGAATGGCTGGCCTAGGATAGGGTTTGTTCGGCCTGGTGTGGCCTGAGGGCTCTTTTTCTGTGCAGTGGATTGCGCCCCTGGTACTGCAAGATTAGCCGGCTGATCTGCCTCTTCCAACCCAATGCTTGAACTAAATTGGGGATATAGCCGTTCATTCTCCTCAAACTCCGAGTTCGATGCTTCAACCAGTGCGAATTCATCGTATGGCTTGCCCCTTGACCGTCCTCGGGACTTGGCGGATTGGTTATTGTTTGACGTAAAATCCGTCATTGGAAGTGTCCGCCCAAGCGCTGGGAAGTCATACTCGACTTCGCCATCATCGACCATCCGTAGCGTCCATCGGTTCACGGTCAAATGCTCGCGATTAATTGGTGGACCGCGACCGTCGGCCGCATATTTCCATAGGGCAAGACCAATCGTCTCAGCAACGGTCACTTGTGCGGGCTGTTCTGCAAGCTTAGATTCGCGTGTAAGTGACAGATCGAGCGGGTCTTCGGGGTCGCTTGAAAAAGGAACGTAGATCTTCAAATATAATGAGTCCTCTTGACCTCGCCCAGAGAGCACCACGAATTTATCCACTGGATTGCTTGGTGCTCGCTTCCGCGACGTAAGCTGGCTGGTTAATAAGCTGACCGGCTTGACCATGCTGATAGGTCGTGGCGGGGGAAGATCTTGCAATACAGGAGCCGGATTGCGATGCTTGCGCGGTGAATTATTCTGCGGCCCTGTGCCAGAGGGTAACTTATTCATCATAGCCATGGGCGAGGACAAATTCAAACCGCCCGCCACGCCTGCCAGCAGCAAGGAGCCAGATCCAGCCGTATTGTCAAAATCAGATGAAAGTGCAGAACCAACAAACTCGGCACCAGAGTCCTCGTCCTCCTCGTGGAGTTCTCCGAGAGCTAGGCTCTCCGCGCCTCGACTGCCAGTTCGCTCGCGCCGTCTGCGGGGATACTCGACGACCTGATCACTCGCGGAGAATTGAACCTGTCCTTGTTTGTAGCCTCTAAGTTCGGTTTCGTTATCCGTCGACAGATCACTGCTCGTGGTTGTATCTCCACGGGGGCGTGGTTTCAATTGACTGAACTGACTCGCAACGTTTTGTGTTGATGCAGATGTTACCATCACTTCTGGCCGTTCCCTCCGGACCCCAGAACGGATTGGAGAGGAGTCGGCGCGATCTCGATGGATGGGCATCTTGTCAAATTTGATCTGATCAATAGCACTGTTGTTGTCAGATAGGGAAGTAGAATACCACACAATAATTCACCAACCTGCTAATGTCTCCAACGTTGTCCCCATCGTCGTCGCTGTCATCACTCAGATCGCTGCTATCGTCGTCCTCTGCTTGCGCTTGTCTCTGAACCTCTTGTTGCCTTTCCCGTCGAGATTTCTTCTTTCCGCCTCGTGCATGATTCCGCCGCGCGGTCATATCCGTATGGCTCTTGCCGGTCACCATGCCACCATCATCCTCGCCGTCTTCCAGGCCGAGGCCTTGCAAATTGTGGTGCTGAGGTTTCGCATTTCGTTCCGCTAGCCTGTAATATTCAGATGAAACGTTTGCCGTGGTTGGAATCGGTGGGGAGTAAGTGCGCTTCAGGGAGGAGCTGTGTGTGTTCGGGTACGCAGCGGCGGTTGACCAGCCCGCCGCGCGAAAGCCAGGTGTATTCAGGACGGAGTCATTGACATTGATAAGTCGGTCCCCGATTCCATCTTTGATTGTTGAGAGATAAGAGGAGCGTAATTGCCAGATCGTAAAGCTTCACTCGGGTTAGTTCTTGGAGACCCTTCCGCGGCGATTTGAGGGCCGGTCTAAGATTCCGGACGCGACTTACTCTTCATTGTGAAGAAGGGACATTTTCCAGGCTCTCACGAGGACATACGTCTGTAATAACCCAGGGGTGTGCTGCGCAGTAGCGACCGAGGTCTAGATATCTCACAGCAGCTCTAGCTAAAAGCGCATGCTCGGGGAATAAAGGGAGGGAAAGCGAATGGGACTAGCTCATACAGGACCAGCCTGGAAAAAACAGATAAAAGAGATAAAGAGATCAGGAAAGGAGAGCAAGGAGGGAGAAAAAGGAGAGTTGTATGTCGGAAGCAAGATGAGAGGGAACTTCGGTGTTCGCATTCATTTCCCCGCCAAGGGGGCCACACTAGTCAACTACATCGATGTTTACATCTCCATACAGGTACAACACTTGACGAATCAGTTATTATACACATGGTTATGCTCTCAATCTCGAGGAATATTGAGAATTCTGTTGATGGAACATATCATAGTACTATGTTGAACTACTCCGCCTCAATAGCTGACGACATGACAACAAGCATTGAGATTCAAATAATCGAACAATACTAAACTCTTTGAACATCGTCACAAGTGTACCTAGAAAGAAAACACGACACTCTCTCCAATATTCGTGAGCTGAGCAGCCGCTGCCAATGCATCCTTCCACTGATCCAGACCAAATTGGCCAGCAACATAGCATCCGTCCTCTTCTTTCAGGCGAAGATTCCCCCTCTCGATCATCTTGATCAATGCAAGAACATCCTTTCGCTCATACATCCAGTTTCCCTTCAATGTGATATTAGAACGTGTAACAAAGATATTTGGGATCTCAAGCTCTTCATAGGCACCCATCAGACTCACCCGGCCTCCAGGTCTGAGCGACATAATGCCGGATTTGAGATGGAAAGATCCTCGGGCCCCAGGAGGAGAAATGTCGAGGAACACATCTATCGGACCGAATTTGTTGATGTTGTAGGCATCATTCGTGCGGTTGCCTGTCCAGGTTACCGTGGAAATTCTTTCGCAAGAACCGTTGAAAGTGCATGATAGGATCTGATTGAGACGCATGAGCTTAGCATCATCGTGAGACCAGGCTACAACTTTTGCACCTGATATTCAGTTAGCGAAAATTCCTGATTGTCTGGGGATATCTTTGGTAGCCAAAGAGAGATATTACCCATAGCCAAAGCAACCATGCATGCAGCAACGCCGTTTGGATAAGTGGCCGGAGAAATCAACACGGTTTCACCGGGCTTCACGTCAATGCTACTCAGTCCACCGAAAGGCCTGAGGAATGTCGCAATAGCACAAAGTTGTTCTGGGGTATAATTAAAGCCCCAATTCGTCGGATCTCCCATCAACTTACCTTCATCCAATGGATAGCAATTCTCAAGTGGTGCCCTCATGAACTCGGCATATGAGCCATCTGCAAAACCGCTATAGGCCATGATTTCCTTGATTTGAGAGTCAAATCCATGATACACGGGGTTGGAAAATCGAACCGTCTCCGGGTTATCTCTTCCTTTCATGACCGAGTCAAAGAAGACTAGTTGACCAACCTTCAGAGTGGTTGCATCGTCACCGACCTGGCTCACACGGGCAATTGCACTTGAGCCGGGAATAATCGGGATTTCATAAGGAGATCTGAAATGGTTGTAAAAATCAAAACCTAGCTTGCTAAAAGAGTGGAGGGGCGTTGCGAGAATACGCAGAAGAACACTTCCAGGCAGTAGAGATGGCATAGGGACTTGTTCAACTTGGGGTTCGGTAAATGGAGCAGGCCTAAGAACGAGGGCACGATGGGTGCTTTGAACCAATGGAAGAAGCCTTCTGTGCGGGATGATTGGACGCGGAGTGTCCGGAGAATCTGTAGAAAGACAGTTCAGTGTTTATACTCATGATGGGCGAGAATACTTGACGTACTTGTTGTGACATTGTCAGAGTCACCATATTCAGAGACACGAGTCATATTTGCATGCAGGAACAGGTCTGCACAGAAGAAGAGTCGAGATCGGAAGAGCTGAGATAAAAGAAGTGGAAGGGTTTGAAGGCATTCACGAGGGAATAGGAATAGTGGGAAAGCAGCAAGAGAAGAAAACAAGTCCTAAGACACGTCAAAATGTAAACAACTAAATTGGTGTACTCAGAGACAGCAGATTAAAATGCACCAACACTATTGAAACGCGTGCTCCTTGACAAAACGATAATATGTTACAAAAATGAGAATCTCTCAAGCCTTGGCCTTGGCCCTACTCTTACGAGCTTTCTTCGGCTTTTCCTCATCGGCATCAACGTCACCATCGGCCTTCTTCGTCTTCTTGCCCTTGGCCGGTGCCTTCTTTTTCTTAGGCAAGCTCACATACTTGTCCTTCTTCAGGTCAAGTTCTTCGTCCTCATCCTTGATCTCTTCAACAACTTCTTCTTCGTCGGATGCTTCAAGGGCATCTTCAATATCAGGCTTGTCCTTCTTTCCCACCTTGGGTGCCACAACATTGCTAGCCTTCATGAATGGCATCGGGTGCGAACGCGAATTGTACAGACGCGTGAAGGTTGCTTTCGTCTGTGTCTCAAGTTTGATCTTAGACTCGTCCATTGGGCCTAGTCCTAGTTCAACCATGGAATCAAAGTCCTCTCGAGTGAGATAGTATTCATCCATGAGATCAATGACCGAATCGACACAGTCCTTGCCTTCGTCCATCATTCGGCGTATCATCTTCTCCTGGAGCAAGGGCATGTACTGTTGACGGATCTCGTCGCGGTTACCTGTAGTACGAAGACGCATGTGGCCCTGTATTTCCTTGACGTATCGGGAGAGTTTGCCTGAAGAGTAAATCAGTTAGAGAGTGTACTATACAGAGAATAGGGGAATGTCCAAAACATACCGTGTTTGCTATTGTTGCCAAGCCAGCTAGTAAATGCAGGCCGCCCGTTTAAGTTTCCGTACTGGAAGCTGGCTGGCCGCACAAAGCTGAAGATCGCATGAGTGGGCATAAGACTCCACTGCTGCTGGGTGCCGTGGATCATGCGGTCGACGAGGTCGCCATCGCTGATACTCGAGGCGGCATTGTCCATCAATTCAAGCGCTTTCAGTCGCTGTTCCTCGCCCTGATATTTGCCCACAAGAGCAGGTTTAGTTCTGAGGTAGTTCTCCTGAAGCATCAGGTAGCTGAACTCGTGATCGTTAAAATAAAGCTCGATCTTGTCGTTCAGGGTAGCAGTGGAACTCGGGGAAAACATCTGGGCGCTAAGAATTTTGCTAACAATATCCCACGGCTTGAGAATGATATTCTTCTCCCACGACTTTGACATTTGCTTCCCTTCATCGTAATTAAGACCCTTTTGATCCAGTCTTGCGGTGGAAAGCATGTTGATGACCTGGCGGATATCGGCATGTGTTCCCTCAATGAGACCGTCGAGTACAGGAGGCGGAATCTTAAGGCCTTCTCGGAAACAGATAGTGGACAGTCTTGCCCGAATTTGCTCAGCAGTCGGGCGTCTGAAAGGCACGTCATAGGTGATGAAGTCGAAAGGTTTCATCTTTGGAAGCTTTCGCTCATTGCAGATAAGGATGATTGGAATCTTGGTCTTCTTGACAATGGCTGCGACAGCTCCCACACCCCCGCGATCACCGGCAGACATGCCATCAACCTCATCCATGATGAGTACGAGCTTTTTCTTTTCACTATTGACTTGCTTGCCTTGTCCGGCGAAATATCCTTGCAATGATGTTGTATCTAGCACACCCAAGGTAGAGCTCTCGACAAGCTTCTTACTTCTGGTGTCACTGGCATTGGTCTCCACGATATCGAATCCTTCCAGCTTCGCCACAAGATGGGCTGCTGTGGTTTTGCCGATTCCTGGGGGGCCGTGAATAATGACGGCACGGTATATCCCCGAGCCGTCTTTACCACCCTTTTTGAAGTCGGCCTGGGCATTGGTATGCCAGTCCCGCAGCCAGGTCTGAATCTTTTCCACAGCACTCTTATTACCACAGATCATACTGGTCGATGTTGGGGCATACTTCGTGGTCCAGAGATCACCAGATGATGCGGGCTGTGAGCTTGGTGGCGTCTGAGACCCGGTGGCCGTGGTCTTGGATGCTTGAGCCGCGGCCGTCTTTCGTTTTTGCTCATCTCGTTTCTTCTCTTCTGCATCAATTTCGGCTGCCATAGCACGGACCTTGGCCTCGTCGGCTTTCACTTTCTCGGCGTGCTTTTCGGCAGCCTTTCCATCCCCGCCGTTGGCAGGGAGTCGTCGAATCAATTCGAAGAGACCATCCTCGTTGATGGTCTTGATCTTGTGCTTTGCAATTGTCTCAAGCTTCTTTGGGCCGGCATCAGATCCGAGGACTACATAGTTCGTCTTAGAACTAGGAGCCCCCACGACTTTGCCACCATACTTCTTCACCAATTGCGCACCCTCTTCACGACCTAGGGATTCCAAAATACCGGTGAAAACAAACGCCAAACCAGCAAGGCAGTTTTCTTCTCCAACGGGCATCTCCTTAGTCCCAGCCATTGCCGGATCCCGGCTTTGTTGTGCTCCAAATTTGAATTTCCTTGGCTCTCCCTTAGGAGGCTCTGGGGCGTCAATCGTAGGAATGCTGTCGAAAATATCTTGGAGCTCTTTGCTTTCTGGTTTGTCCTCCTTTTTGGCCTTTTTAGGGCTAGCCTTCTGCTTCTTCGCAGCTGATGCTGCCGCGGCTTTGGTTTTCGGAGCTGCCTTTTTTGTTTCCTTTTTGGGTTCTTGGTAGTCGTCTTCATCCTCGTCGATGAGAGCTTCCGATTTGCGCTTGCGACCAGGTCGAGCCTTCGGGGTAGGAATCGTGGGGAGATCTTCCATGACCACGTCATCCTCGTCATCGCGAGAAGGTTGCTTCTTCTGTGCCTTCTTCGATGCTGCAGTGACTGGCCTCACCTCAAGCATTTCGAAGTCACTGCCATCGTCATTATCATCCTCAGCCACATAATCGTCGTCTCCTTTGCCGGCTTTACCATATTCGGTTGCAAAAATGTCATCGGCGCCGAGATTTTCATCCTCAAGGACCTTTGTGGGTTTCTTTGTTGATACCTTAGTGGTGGTTCGTACTTTGTTCGCAGGTTCTTCGGCAGTCTTCTTGGGTTTGGGGTTTTCGGCAACAATCTTGGCTTTATCGGGCTGAACTTGCTCAGTTGGTTTTGTAGGCCGTGCTTTCTTCTTATTGGAGGCGAAATAGTCGGAGGAAGTTGTAGGTTCTTCTTTAGTCTCTTCGGGCTTTCTGCAGAGGAAGCTCATCAGTCAAATGGTATGAGACATTTCAATCCAGCGATGGACATACGATTGACTTTTGGACTTTGCTTTGATAGCGGGCGCTTTGGTGGGTGCTACATCTTCTTCGTCACTGTCATCCACAATCTTTCTGCTGCCTGTTGTCGCGTTAGACTGGTAGTGCAGGACTATGGGTTATGGAGAGCATACGTCTCTTTCTTGTAGCGGAGGAGTCCTGCATTGTCGGATTTGAGGTTAGACTATAATTTCAAGCAATACGAAGGGCACCAGTACACATATAAAGTAACCAGGCCCTCCTTTCGTGAGCAAGGCACCAGCTTACCTCTTTTTTAGCTGAGGGTTTCGTAGCGGCGTCGTTGGAGCCTTGACTCGACTTGCCGCCAAAGAAATTCCGGATGTCCATAGTGAGTCGCAATTAATGACACGGAATTTGGCACAGAACAGTAAATGAAAGCGCGGTGTATGGCCAATCGAGCTCTTGCCGCAGCGTTTGCTAGATCGCGAACGACGCGCCACACTTCCGGGGACGTGACTGGCTGACGTAAGGCAGCACTTCCTTCCCTTTTAGGACTAGCGTATATAAGCTAAGACTATAAGAATCAGGAAAGGACTCCCAAGGCCTCAGTAGCACTCCTTACCTCAAAGTCATAAACGCTTCGGGCATGAGATGGCTGTGTATAGTGTCATTGGTGCCGAGAGATATATATCGGATAGCACCGGCTGTGCATAGCATATCAAACTATTACAGGGCAAGACAAGAGGATTACCAGTCAGACATACTACATATCCATAGTTTCAATTATCGAGTTGCACAGCGCGGGTTTTCTTTAGTACGATTGAGTGCATCTTCTATCAATAAAAAGCTATTTGGAGCTACAACGTACTATATTAGAATATGGACTGAAATTGACGCCTGGTTTTCAAGGCATAATTTAGCAAGTATGAGCAATGTCACGTGCTCTCTGTCTTTCCACTTTGGGACTAGTGTAAATCATCGAAAAGTGCCGGAGTAACGAAGCCTTTCGCAACACTGGTATCTCTCGCCGCCTCCCTCCTCACAATGGGTCCACAGATCAAGATGTTTGCTGGACCGCTTTCCGCCTGCACACGGCCAACTCGTATGAGCCATTTAACCCCCAGAGAATCCATTCGGCCGAAGACTAACAGTGCGACATAGTGTCGGGACCGCTGGCCACCTTTTCTCTATCACGATGCTTCTCTACCACCTCGCCCACCCTTGATTGGCTGACCCCGAAATTCCAAGAAAAATCCAAATCCCCCAAGGGTCGCCCTCACGTTGCTACCGGCGGATCCACCCGAGGAACAACAGTCGTGTGGGGAGACTTCGGTCTGCGCATGAAAGACCACGACCGCCGCATGCCCGCATCGGCGTTGAAGATCGCCGAAGAGACCATCAAGCGGCGGCTGCGAGGAATGAACTATAAGCTGTACAAGCGTGTCAGCGCCAACGTCGGTGTCTACACCAAGGGTAACGAGCAGCGTATGGGTAAGGGTAAGGGTAAGTTCGACTACTGGACTGTCCGACTGCCCGTGAGCCGAATCGTCTTTGAGTTGAAGGGAGATGTCCACGAGAAGATTGCCCGCGAGGCTTTCAGATTGGCGGGCCACAAATTGCCAGGTAGGTTATGCATTTTCTCCATTACTAATTCCAGTGCGAAAGATGCTCATTCTTATTCATTAGGTCTTTGGGAGTTCGTTAACAAAGATGACCCGCCTGTCGTCGGTATCACAAAGCTCGGAAACGGAGTCACTCTCGACTCCCTCAAGCGGGCTCGCAGAGACCCGCCCCTTGGTACCAATGACCTCGTTTCACCTCCGCAGAGCACCTCATCCAGCTCCGACTCTACCCAATAAACTGCCGTTTCCTGCATGATACCGTTTTCTCTTTTTTCATCGGTCATGTCTTTTGCTTTTGTCGTCTTTGCCGACTAAGCCCCGACACCAGACCCAGGCCCATACCCCTGCTGTCTGCGGGCCTTGGACACGGCATCGTCCTCGTCACGTTTCATATCTTTTGTACATTATCATCAGCTGTTTGCGTCTCTTTAGGAGCCATCGAGGCACGGGCTCCTCTGATGGATCTTTTGTCTTGATACAAGGAGTTTAGACAAGGAAAATATATTCACGATTTACCTTTACCGGAGTCAGCTACTGCTCCCATTCCTAGCTTCTGTGCCTGGGCATCCTCGTCGTTGCTGGATGCTGGCCCTGGGCTATGTGTCCCTAGACCAGGGCTCGCTTCGCTTATAGTGTGCTTCTGGCCAACTTGGATGAGGTCAGTCATTGCTATACCTAGTGCACTGAGAATTATCTCCAAGGAAGCGATATACCCCCTAGTTGTCCGGTCTGCTTGGGAGGACTCTTAGTGAATTCCCTAATAGACTCATATCTGCACCCTGTATATTAGCGAATAGCAATTGCAAGAGATGGTCTTGATTCGGTCCATACTGAGTGCTCTCTCCGCCCGGTTTCATATCAACAAGTCTGGGGTCGGTCATTTTGGATGATATTCGTATGGGATAGAATTACAATAGTAGAATTGTATTAGGAAAATCAGATGAATGCTATTCCGATGTTCCCACTGGGTGGTCCAGTTTATGAATGACGGGGATGCGATGACGTATGTTAAGAGGTCAACCGACATACACAATTCAGGTTTCTTGATATCATTGTATAAAATAGTATCGAATGTGCTCTATGTATTTAGAATCAACCCCTGCTCCAATACGGCTACAGCTTCACTGTTGAAGTATATATAGCTACGACTTGGGCACGTGTGGTTCCAGAAATAAATAGTCTTGGTGCATTCTTTATACTACAACATTTAGCAACATTGCGCGTTGAATCATAATGGGGGATCAAGCACAACATATTCGAGAACGTATCATGGATCAAACCCAGACACAATTCATAGACTCCTCCGAGAAGTTGATTCAGGACCAATTCGAATACTGGGCGACACCCCCAACAGCCTACTCGACCCTGGAGATTATCTAGGATCTATACGTCTATTCGTCTCAAAGGCACAGTGTTCTATTCGCAATCATCGTCTAGACGTCTAAACTCGTTTTCTCGCTGTGAACGTATACCCTGGAAGTCACGCCTATTTCGTCCTGGACGTTAACAATGTCGACTATGTCTATGAGACCGCTCATACCGATACGAGTCCCATTCCCATCTACGTTCTTCGCCTATCGAAGAGGAAAATCAGCATCAACAGGCAGCGAGAGCTAGACGCTACCATTGCTAAGAGACTTAGAGCGATGCACAATGGGCATGGGGATGACCCTCTACCGTTGCTTGATGATTTTAATCGGACTGTTGAATATCACAGTCCGCGTAGTCTTCGGCGGTAGATCTTCAGCGTGATCATCTGAGTTTCCTCTCTATCGGAGTTCGACCCCCATCTGATTTGATTTTTGTTTTCTCAATGGAAGCTGCAATGCTGGGGGCGCCTCAGCCCAAACCCAAACGTGCAACCTTGAAGATAACCATGAGTGAACTGTGCAATCCCTTTGCTCAAGTGATATAGACTTTAGCGACGTCCTGCGGGTCCAGATTCCGGAGACTAGACCCCCATCACGACAATCCTTGCGTAATTTAGATACGGTGATATCAAATCTTTGTAAGCAATACTGGGAGTCCGTGACTTGCAGTATTAAATGAAATGTGATATAACGCCAGAATCCTTTTCAAAAATGCCTTCACGCGCCTGGAAAAAAGTGAAAAGTAAATCAGATACCTGGGGATTTCGAAAAAAGTGCAGTTCTGCATAATAGCAGATCATAACTTCCGAGATCCCATGCTCACCGAAAACCACCTTAGTGTACAAATCGTCATTCATCCATTGTCTTGGTTTGTTGACAGTGAGTAATTAGAAATCCATGCCCATCAGATAGCTAAAGTGCTATTAGTTATATGCCTCCATTAAATTATCCAGGGGAAGTATACCTTTCATAGATGCGCATGAACTTGGCCACGAAGGCTTCGAGATGGAAGATTATTTTCTGTATCGAAATATTCATTAGCTTATATTGATGGCAATGATAACCATCAATAACTTACACTTCCCAGCTTGATGCGGTGCTCATAGAACGCAGACCACTTGATAACTTCTGGCTTCAGAGCATCGTCAACTCGTGCAACAAGCTTGAATGTCAAGGTCTAGCACCAGCAGTTAATATCTGGAGCATGTTCATTAAATAGGTGTATACACACCTTCAAAATAGTTGTTGGAGGGATGCAATGGGTCAAAAGATCATAAAGACGTGCGCGGACTTGCAACAGCCGAGCTGGTGAACGCTCAGCCATAATCTCATCAGCCGTTAGGGCAACAAGGGCTTCCCAGTCCGGAGGCGGGATGAGGGTCTTGTCCGTAACCTTTTCACTACATTTCCAAAAACGTAAGCTTCTAAAATCCAGGCCAATGGGAACCGAAGTGGAAACTAACTTTTGCGCATAAATAGACTCAAACATGAGCAGCGCACGACGCAGATTGCGTCCACTCTCCTTCGCAATCCTCTTGTTCAGCACCTGAGACTCGGTCCATCCTTCCTTTTTTCCTGCGAGATGGAGCGCAGAGCAAATGTCAGCTTCAGTTGGCGCTGCAACCCTGACCAGCAGGGTTCGAGACCGAATCGGTGCAATGATGTTGGAGGTACTGTTGGCCAGGAGAATCAATCGTAGATTGGGACTGTATTTCTCCATGGTACGTCTGAGAGCTGCCTGGGCATCTCGTGTGAGATGATCGGCTTCGTTAATCACGACGACCTTGAACCGCTGCTTCGCGCCGAGATCCACCTGTTGCGTCTGCGCGACCTCTTTAAGCAATTCCTGAACGACTACTCGGTCATAGTTTCCGACATCTGCGGGGGTGATCTCGAGATGGTACACCGATGAGACAATGTTGAACTCTAGCTTTCGGTTGCTCGTCGTTTGGAAGACTCTGGCGTCGATCTTGATCTTCTCGACACCGGGGCCGTACAGTTCTTTTAGTGTTGCAATGACCCGTGTTTTCTTGCCAGCGCCGGAGGGTCCATATACTAGTAGATGGGGGAAATCTCCGCTTTGTGCCTGTTAAGTGTACCTTATGTTAAAATTGTGTCCCTTTCCGCAGCTCAGGCTTTCTTACCAGTGATCGCAGGCGATCAGAGAGCTCGGGGTGGTATGTAAGAGCATCGAGGGTGCGTGGCCGCAGTTTGTCCACAAGGAGAGCCATTTTGAAAACTCCAGAAAGCTGTTGAGATGAGGAATCGAGGTGCTTGTGGTTTTCGATAGAGGATGCGGACCGGAGAACGCGTCCAGACACGCGCCTAATTAATCACTGGTCCGTGCACGCTCCCACTATATCAGCTTCGAAGAAATTATTTCGGCGTAGATCGTACAATTACATATGAATAAATTCAACGATATATACAGCTATGTAGTTTTCTAGGCATTTGGCAGCCTTCCGCCAAACTCCGAGATGTATAGTACATGCAAATTTGCTTTGAGAGATGAGATGAATGTTGAAAAAGCCCGACACAACACCACGCATGTTTCTTTGTTCACTGTTAATGTCCAAGTCTATACAAACTCACACAATTGAAATACAGTACCCCAATGCGCCCTTGGTGTGAGCTTTTTATGATGCGATTGGCGTCAGAACACCATTGTCATCATATTTAGCTTCTGCTTTGGGTTAGACCGGGCCAAGAAAGCAACGAGTAGACATAAAACTTACTAAAGAAGGTGTATGACAGGGTAATAGTATCAATGCCCTTCATATTAGGATCGGTAGCAAAGTCAGGATCGATGAAGAAGAAGACAGGCATATCAACCGACTCTCCCGCATTGAGCTTCTGCTCCTCAAAGCAGAAGCATTGGATCTTGCTAAAGTACGGCGCAACCTGACCTGGCGTGACACTGTATGTTGCAACTCCAATAATATCCTGCGGACCCTTATTCGTTGCGGTATAGAATGCCAGCGCCGTCTCGCCGGGCAGCACTCGGACTTCACGCTGCTGGGGAGTGAACTTCCAAGGGAGGACATCCGATACCGAGCCGTTGAATGTAATGCGCAGGCGACGAGAATCTGTCACAGGCGTCACACGTGCAGAGGTATCACCGTCGCCGATTCGGTGGGTGAGAATGGGCTGACCGCCCCAACCGGTCTGCTGGCAAATCTGCAATTGGGATCAGAATGATATTCCGTTTGGATGTACCCTAGATCGAGTGAGAGCTTATCATACCATTTTGTAGAGAGGGACAGATCCATATGCTAGGGCAACCGTTCCAAGGATCATACTGATGGTATAGTACCTGGTCGGGGGTTTTGTTAGCACATGGGTTCCCTCCGGTCCCGGTTAAATGGCAGCTCACAATGTAGAGTTATTGCGTTTTTGTGATTCCGGGGTATTGAAAGGCGCTGTAGATGAATTGCGTTGTTCATGAAGCAGGATATTCTTCGAGAAATACCTTCGCTCCACCTCGAAGACGCTCTTTCGGAGATAGATTGATCGCTGCGGGATCGTTCCCGTCAGCGCAGAGCGCCCTAGTGAGGGGATTAATCGTGAAAACATGGTTCTATGACTTTAATGGGATTGGACGTTGAGTCGCATGAGATGCAGAGTATCCAACACGTGATAACTCTGATTCAACGGCTTATCGATAAGGCCTAAGCTTCGGAGTCACGTTACATCTAAACGGCGGGCGACATTGAGACAGGTAATCCCTATTGGCATTGAGACAAGGTTAGAAATTAGAATGTATGTGTATCTTAAATTGATTCTTGGTTTGTTCATGAAGATTAACTGAATCAAGAATTAAATAGGAAGGTTCGACCCCACCCTTCCGGCTGCCTAGGCTGCAGAGTTGGCTTTAGCAGCGACTCATTTACTGGTATCGAGGCATGAATATTATTCGCCTTATTCGCCTTGTACAAAGATATCATTAAGTTCGGGAGATTTGAAAGCATTCATATGTAATGATGCAGAGTTCATAAAAATAATACAGGGTAATGGCACCCAGAAGTTAGACCCGAAGTCTAAAATAACCAATAACTAATACAACCGTTTGATGGCATCGAAGCTTCACTGGAAGTCTAATTCAACACACTCGATGTGATGCGACCAAACACTCCTCGTACCATGCTAGGTCGCTCACGGAGGCAAGTGATAAGAACAGCAGCGCTAACAGCAAATGCGATGCGCTCTCGGTATTGATACTGGGAAACACAACACGCGTCAGCATCTCGTGATTGTTTTGGAACATGCCACAGGCTAATTTGAAGACATTGAGAAGGGGTTGGAGGGGATGTGGGTGTAACCCTGTTGTGGACAGATGATGCGAGGGTCCGATACATACCTTTTTCTCATACAACCGTGGCAAAACCGTGGCGGCAGCCCGGGGTGCCACAAATAGCGCCAACTCCTGCCTCTTCCGCGTCTTTTCAACCAATATACTCCAGCCGCACATGAGACATCCCGCACCGACACATAGCCCAGAGTCCCACATCATCGGAGTGACCGTCTTCGCGTCAAAGACCTTGGGGCCGAGTCGTGTCCGAGCGAGACAGACACCGTAGTAAAATAAGCTCACAAAAGATGCGAGGAAGGCAGATGATCGTGCTGCATCAGAAAGGGCCCGACGAAGGGCAGTTGCAGATTTCATCCTGCGCAGACGGAAAATAATCTGTAGGGGTATATAGGTTGCACAGGCATATTTGAAGGTTCTGGCAAATCGATACAATGCGTGTTTTTCACAGCTGGGGCCACAGCCCATGTGAACCATTTCGCAAGGAATCGGGACAAATTTTGATGGGTCACCCCATACCTCTGGCCAGTTGTAGTCATTGCACATCGACTGGAGAAGAGGTGCCTGGCCTGTATCCTTTCCATAGACGAAAACTCCCCGTCGAGCACGGCGCAGGGCTTCAATTAAACGTGAGTCGACCTGAGCAGCTTCCCCGATCCACTTCTCATAGGCTCTGGGCAGTCTTTCGGGGAGATAAAACCACGCCCACATGACCACAGCCGCACTCATGGCAAAGACAGTTGCGTCGGCGAAGTCAGGGACAAGGGATTCGACAGTCGTCCAGCGATTCTGGGCCCGGCGGCGACGGGACCAGCGACCCCATGCAACACATGCGAGCGCATCTACGGCTCTTGTGACCATGTAGATGGTGAGGTCCATTGTCCTCCCTGCTAACTCTGGGCGGTGATGTTCCAGCGAATTGGCCATAAGCTGACTGGAGTCTTTCCCCTGATCTGTGGAGTTCCGGATAGTTCTAACATCTTCTATTGGCAGACAGATGCGGTTCTTGTTGAGCAGTTGAAAACTGAACCATCCAGATAGAAGAGAGATGATGAATCTAATTAAGCGGTCCAGCCTTTGTGAGATCTGAACGTCACGTTTGGAGAGACCTGCCGTGATCAATGCACACAGACGATACAATCCTATTGGTAGTAGGGTTGAGCCACCGACCAGGGAAGCACAAGCTGTTGGGAAACTGTTCAGACGTAAAGGACCAGCCAAGACTTTAGCTAACTATTCAAGGTGAGGTCAGCTATAGCATTCCATTTATACAATAGACTAGGGGAGAGTAAGTCGTGACAAGAGCCCCATACTAGGTAATACTACGACGTACCTCTTGAAGTTTCTGTTGCGCAGTCCAATCGTTATTGCGCAGTCGGCGGACATAAGACAACAATTTCGGGGTGACAGAAGATAAGTACCCGAGTGCATATGCGCGAAGGAGGCTACAGTCGTAATCAGCAAGGGCTCTTTAGATCACACAGTTGCACCAAGCCACAAGGGTAACAGATCGCATGGACTCACGGCTTGAATACCCGGACGTTGTCCCTTCCATGGCGTCTCCGGAGTGTAGGTTCCATGCTGCCGGAAACCTTCATGTCATGATCCGTCGGGAGGTGTCAACATCACAGTCCCCCGAACTAATCGGCGACGAGGGGTCAGCCAGCTGTAAACTCTGGTGGGATTCACAAGAATCTCCTCGCCAATCAGGGAATGAGATGTAAGAGCTCAATAGGTTTTATCCGCGGGTGACCTACAATTGCACCTCCCGAAAATTGGGTAGTATTCTCCGGCAGAGGGAAATTGACACCTACACGATCGTTTTCCGAAATATGGATCAAGTGAACTCCGTGTAATGGGCCTGTTAGAGACTTGGTGGTTGTACCCAGGTGGGAACTCCAGAAAAGCCCCCGCAAACAAGATCCAAAATCGGGGGAGGGACCTGTTTCAAGAGAAGACAGAGGGCGATCATCCGAAGCAATGAGCCTTTTCCCTTTCGGAGCAGATTAGTCGGTATTGCGGGGCTAAACAAGGCGAATGATCTAACTCCAACCCCATAATAAGAGGATGATCTCAGGAGAACAATTCCCAAACAAGGAGATGAACCGCACTGACCCAATGATCCTTGTCAATAAGAACGAGAGAAAGAGATATATAAGAGAAAGGGCAAATTGTATCCGAATGTACACCAGAAGCCAGCTGGAAGAGAGGGTACCTGCAGTGTACTTTGCGTTGACAAGTCGGTGCTTGTCTCGCAGGGCCCTCGGGAAGGGTTCTCCGGGAGTCAACAGCTCTCCCCAGGAACGTATCAAATACCGATGGTACCATATAAGCCACAGCGGAACCGCCGTAATTTATGTACTGTTACGTCACGCGCTCAAATTTTTGCATGTGATCAGGCCGATTGCTTTTGATGCGAAACTCTCCACGTATTCTTCTATAGGACGCATCTCTCTTGCTTTCGGGCACTCTCTTGATCTTCTTCTTTTGCTTTCTTTCTTCGCACTTTCTTCTGGTCTTCTTGTTCCTATCCCCATTGCGCTGAACCATCTCCTTATCGAGTCGCATTATCAGCCCTAGAGAACTCCCGTGGCCTTGATCTACCCCCGCGTTCCTCTTCTGTGGAGTCAAACCTTGGCTATCATCTCGAGCGCATACAATTTTTCACTCCATTCCAAGGCATGACAGTGTCGCCTTGGTCCGCGCTACTCTTGCCATCAGAGTAGCAACCGTTTTCTTGACACCCTGTGGATATTGAACCGCTTTTCACTATGAATGGACATGGCACTCAAGTTCGGACTGGGCGCACGTCTCCCCCGGCTGCTCCCTTTGGATGTGAGTCGCTCCGGGCATTATTTGTACCGTCCACTCTTTAACCCGATTCCAGACTCGTTTCTCTCCCCCATGGACACGCCCTTTGAACAGGCACCTGCTCTACCCCCAGGACCTTCTCTTCTTGACGATAACGAATCCAATATGCTTGATAACTTCTTTACTACCATGAACGCAAACCACTTTACGAATGATTTCTGGATGCGACAAGAACATAAATCCGGGGCACCCAACTTTGACTGGTCAGGTGAGCTGCCGCCCAACTTCGAAGGATCAACCACATCCCTATCGCAGCCCTCATTTCAGCAGCATGGGCTAGGGAAAGCAGCCGGGGGAACCATGACAGACAATCCTACAAGCTCGGATATATTCGCCGCAGCTTCCATGCTCTACCACAGTGGTCTAAACGGATCGGAGTTAGGCTCCACGTTAGCACAACAGGCTTTCGCGGGACAGTCTCTCCCCACCCATGGGATACAACGAAAAATTAATTCACATACTGGCAGTGTTGCACAGGGTTCAGCTTCATCTCCACCCCGGGCTGGTGTCCCGGTTGGATATCATACCTCGGAGATGTTTTTTGACGTCCGTGACCCCATTCCTGCGGACCAACATCCATCAAGAAAGGCCCGCAGTTTGCGATGGGGCTCAGATGCCAGTTTTATGGACCAGGGCTATCTTCGCCCCCCTGATCAGCCTGACGAGGAACAGCGGACAAGTGACCTGCTCGATCATCTCGGGTGCTTTGAACCACAAAGCAGTGCAGCAAACACACGAGCACCTAGTCCAGAGCGCATGGTTGGGGCTCCTCCTCAAGGTGCCGTTTTCCGAAGTGGAGCTGTCCTGGACGAGAGCTTACATCCCCGAAAACGGCCAAGAATCGCCCTGAAATATGAGGGTGACGAAGACTCCGATGAGGATGATGCACGACCTCACTCAAGAAAGTCTAGAGGATCTATCAGCAAAGGCCGACGATCATCAACGGACATGTCTCGAAAAGCCCGAGTACAGCCAGGGTCCAAAACTGCGCGAGAGAATCTCACTGAAGAGCAAAAACGGACCAACCACATCCTTTCGGAGCAGAAACGTCGAAATCTTATTCGCCAAGGCTTCGAAGACTTGTGTACACTGGTCCCTGCGCTCAGAGGCGGCGGATTCAGCAAAAGCGCAATGCTCACTGGAGCTGCTGACTGGCTTGAAGACCTTCTCCAGGGGAATGACATACTTCAAAGCCAACTGCGTGACTTGAAGGGCATGAATGGCTTGGTGATGCCGCGTTAATACCCTCTGTGGCACGACCACAACGTTAATATATGATCTCATGGATAGCCCTGCCTCTTTTCTTCGCGGGGATTGCAAGCGTTTCAGCGGGACAGTTTTGTGTATGCATGTCGGCGAGTTGGCATTTCATCTTTGCAAATCCCGGCAACAAGATACCATTTTTCTTTTCTCTGCATACTCTTTCTTCGTCTTTTTTTCCCATATAACCGCTGTAGGTGATACAAGTCATCTTTCGGCTGGTCCTCGGCAAATATCGATACCCTAGTGCATAATTCGAAAAGCCTGTATTGAACATAGTTTGAGTAAAGAAATATTCCTTTTTTTAAATTAGTTTTGCCAATATACTAAGACATAGCTTTCCGCATAGCACATAAAAGAGAGAATAGATGATATAGGTGTATCGTTGCTCCCTACGCACGTTTGGTCAAGCTGAGACATTTCAGCGACAGATTTGGATTATTTCAATTTTCATCAGTTTTCATCAGTTTTCATCAGTTTTCAATTTGAAACATTAGTACGGACGAATATGCTAATAAAGGCCAAGACTACCAAGACTCTGTGGGTTGGCATGCTATCTACTCCGTACTTCCGTAGTATCTCCATGTTTTGTCCCCACCGCTCTGTATTGCCTGCATGTGAAGACGCGTCAACATCCTTAGTTTTGTACCTCGACCTAACACCCTCAACTCACTATGCCTCCAAAGCGAAAACACACGGGCGACGATGCCCCGCAGGAGGACGACTCCAAGGGCTACGCCTATCTCAAACCGCACATCCGCCGCGTCCCAGAGAAAACCATCAAGTCGAAATGGGCCCCTCTACCGGAACCCGTCCAGGGAAAGGTCATGGACATGTTCCACTCCCTCGAGCGACCGGTGATAATGCGGAATCAAAATGAGCGCAAGCGAATCGAGGCGCAGGGCGCCGTGCAAGCGGTCGTGCGAAAGTAGGGCGCCGTGCACAGTCTGGTAGCTTCCACAGAGCTACCAGTGTCTTGAGGGACGATGATACTAACCGTATACCGCGTGTTGTTTAGTCTAGGCAAAAGACTCCCGCGAATGCCGTTTCCGCCCATAACAAAGGACTCCAACTTCGACTACGAATCTGCCCTGAATGAGCACGTATGCGACCCTCTGCGATTGTCGACAGCAAGTCCATACTGATTACATTCTTAGCGCTCACTCGAGGCCCACTTGGCTACGATGAATGATAGCGTCGATCTACTAAAAGCTGAGATTGCCAAAGAAGAAGCGCTCCTTGCTAGGGAAACAAAATCGCTCCAGGAAATGGACAAGAATGCGAAACGGGCCGAGGCTGAAAGGAAACGACAGACTAAGAATGTATGCAGCAGATCATCTCGCTTCAAAGTGGACTGGCTAATGTTTTACGACCGTAGGAACACCCCGTGCTCCGACAGTTGGATGCACTTCCTCGAACTGAGGATTCTGGGTCCTCTGAGTTCATGCTTCTCGGCGCGAAAGATAGCCAAGTGACACTAGATGAGGTATGGACTGCTTGTGAACCACGCGTGCTTGCCCTGTCAACTTACCATTCTATTTGATTTTAGTTGGAGACCGACCCCGAAGTCCAAGGACTCATGAAGCAACTACATGGCCATCTTCAATCCATGCAAAGCAATACAGCGCCCTTCGCAGGACTCGGGGATGCCATCACTCGTTCACAAGCTGCCTTGGATCTATACTCGATCCCCAATGACTGATTATTGCTGGACATCACTGCACTTGCAAGCTACCAATCCCGGCATTTTGATGCTTCTTATGATTGACACATGAAGGGCCTCGGACCCAGGGTTTGCACGTTTATTAGAAACTCAAACCAAGTATCGCCCGAGCTTGGCGATCAGGAATCACATAGGCAATCCTGGTCGCGTGCTTAACTCCAATGCATTCGTTGAATAGCTGCATACGGTGGAACCGCACGGTTGAACGCACCTCTCTTCAACAGATGATACCGACTGCAGGGGTAAATATGGATCACCCTAAATTAAGAGAAGGGTAATGCAGATATGTTGCGCACCTAGTTTAATCTTGGCGGTCATGCTTCGAGGGTGATCAGACAACCGAGGCTCCACCCCATGAAAAGGGGAAGAAACTAGATCAATAAACACGAGCCTCCACCTTTTACACAATACCAATGTAGTTTCAATCGAAATCCGATCAATTATAAGCATACAAAACGCAATTTCGCAGCCGAGGTGGTCTCGCCCCCGACAGTGACGTGTGCCCAAACTGCCAACCCCATGCGGAGCAGTTCGGAGGGGTGACTCCGCTTTCTCCATCCCCAAGAACTTTTCGACGTTTACCAACTACTACCAACTGGTCTGCAGGCAGCCATTCCGCTCCGGCCCTGGTGGTTCTCACTGAACTCTTGCGCAATGTCCGAAAAGAATGCGCCGCTGGGCACTTCCAATGCGACAAAATCCAGATCTGATGCAGGGAAGGATACGAGCATCAAGAATCCGCAAACAGCTGCGGCCAAGGCCGAAACGACCGGCTCGGGGAGTCACTCCAGCCCCAAGAAGCGCCGGAAGGTGAATCACGGTAAGGTGCCGTTGCGCAGCATGCGACAGGGATCTGGGCGCGTCCGATCCTGTTGCGCATCACCACAAGAACATTTTCGCTAACGCAATTCCAGCCTGTGTATATTGTCGCCGCTCGGTAAGTTAACTTCTTGGGAATGCCATTATACTTGGTTACTATATGCGATACGCCATGACATCAATGCTAGCGCATATCTATTCAAGGAACTGGCTTTGCTAACGGGGGGTTTTGCTCGCGTGGGACAGCATATGACCTGCGACTCGGTACGACACCTCTGTCTCCCTTTCCGCGTTCGCGACCCGTCACGTCTGAAACTTTGATCGCAAACCTGCGGAAAATAATTTGCACCAGCTGACCTGTTTAATTTCTGAAGGAACGGCCCTGCACACGCTGTATAAAGCGAAACATCGGTCACCTGTGTCATGACGAGCCGAGGGAAACTGCGAAACGAGGACGTGGCGAACACGAACATTCTGCTGCAGACGACGAGGGCTCGTCTAACAATGAATTGGGCTCCGTTCAAGGCATGCCTACGAGTGTCGACATAGCCGATGCTGCTGGTCAGCAATCATTCCCTGATACCACGATCGGAATTGCACCCTCAGTTGTGAATCCGCCTTCAACGGTGCCGCCTGGGAATCTTTCTGCGTCTAGTCAGTCACTCGAGGCTACCTCTCAGCGTGAGTTCGCAACAAATCCTGTTTTGCCGCCGGACTCAGCTAACGTGGTATGATAGTCATGCCATACAACGATTGGGTAGGTGGTCAGAATCAGTTCCAGGACATGCATTCTCTCCACCCTTCCTACATGTTTAATGCACACGAAGTGACCAACGAGTACAATCTGCTCGGCGATTTCCTCAGTAACAGTCTCTTAGACGACGGGGCAATGTTCCAAAATCAAGATATGCAGGGAATCTACAACGATTCGTCGTTGATGAACTCGATGAATGGTATGCCAGCACCGAACGGGTTGCCTCCTCCAACACAACTTCCGCCGCCAGCACAGAGCCAAGCACTGCCAGGAGACTCAATTCAACGCTCAACCTCCACGACGGGTAATGACAAAGCCCGGGAAACGTACTACATGACCGCCGCCGACCCGGCAGGAACTGACCCACCAGAGGAGCGGATGAACAAGCTTCTCAAAGCGAAATATGACGCCGGACTACTAAAACCGTTCAACTACGTTAAGGGATATGCACGGTTGAACCAGTACATGGAAAAGAACATGCAACAAATATCTCGCCAAAAGATTCTGCGGCAGCTCGACAAGTTCCGGCCGAAGTTCCGAGAACGCATGCAGAGCTTGACTGATATCGAACTGATTCTGGTGGAGATGTGGTTCGAGCGCAGTCTTATGGAGTACGATCGAGTCTTTGCCAGTATGGCTATCCCAGCCTGCTGCTGGCGTCGAACGGGCGAGATCTTCCGAGGGAACAATGAGATGGCACAGCTGATTGATGTCCCGGTTGAGGGTCTTCGAGATGTAAGTTTGAAGACTGGAGACTCGCCACGTCATATTACACCCAACTCACATGTTTACTCTCTGTAGGGAAAACTGGCTATCCACGAGATCATTGTCGAAGACCAGCTGGTCAGTTATTGGGAAAAGTTCGGCGCCATCGCCTTCGACAATACCCAAAAGGCTATGCTCACTAGTTGCACGCTGAAGAGCCCTAACCCTAATTCAAGGAGTGACGGTATAACCTGCTGCTTTTCGTTTACGATCAGACGAGACAATCACAACATGTACGTCTTCATTGCTCACCACTGTCCACTAGATACTGACATGCCGGAACTAACACTGTGCAGCCCGTCTCTCATCGTTGGGAACTTCCTCCCCATCGATAAATAGTACTTTTCGATAGACTGTTATTTATTCCATGACACATAAGGACTTCTCTTTTGGTATCATCCTTTGATTTAGTGATTCCCCAAGTTTTGGCTGTGCTCCTCACAGAAAAATGTATAGTGCTTGATTTTATGTGTGTAACATCAAACAGTATGTTTTGAGTCAAATCATATATACATACGAAGTAACAGGGTCTGGTGCTCTGAGTAGTGCAAATGTTCTGTTTGCAATGGTCAAGGGACGACACGAGCACCTGGGGTTTGACTCGGTCGTCTCTTTCGTCCCTCCACGCTCTTCCAACTCCAAACAATCTTCCCTCTCACTTTCACTTTCTTTCTTCCTCTTCTCCTAACCTCTTCGTAACCTTTATTATCCCCTTTTATCTTTCTTTTCATCTTTTTTCCCATTGGCTCCCAATTCCCAAGTCTTCTCTCCATGGCGCAACCGTCTAGACTACACCTGGCTCTAGCTGGTATGAGCCACACATCATGTCCCCGCTATGCGCAGCAGCTGACCCCCATATTCTTCTATCTAGGCCATGCTCACACTTTGCATATAGCCTTATCTACAGTCGGAACCTCGAGTCCTCTCCTTCCTCCCAATGCCATTTCCAGACTGGATAGAGGGCTCAAGCGTAACCCGTTTGTTGTCATGGCAAATACATCGAGTCGCCAGCAGCTGGATATGGTTGGAACATTACTCTGGAACGACTGCGCCCAGCTAATCAGCTTGCGTGGTCAAAATCCGGAGGATATGCTGATTCTCGGCAAAGTGAGGGCGTTCGCGTTTGCTGTGTTGAACATGGCTGTCATGCCTGACCTCCTAGGTTTTTGATGGCCTCTAATATATGTTGAAGTGACCTTATCTAATCTCTTACAGGGGATCTCCGGGCTCTCGATCTGGCCGTCAAGGCTGCGCGTATTTGCATTGGTATACCATCCTATATCTCACTTGATGACTTGATCAGGTCTAACGACAAGAACAGTGAACCAGCAAAGCGAAATTGCGGTAAATATCTTGTCAGTGGCAGCCACGAGGTTGTCAAACATTCAGCCTGCTCATCTCGGGCTTGACGCTGCGATTAACCGCACTATCACCACCCAATACTTGTTGCTCCGTATGCGACTGGTTAGTTGCATTGTCTGAACACTGCTTTGTGTGTCAACACCAGAATTGACATTATTTCAGGCCTGGTTGTATGAACGAGCAGATATCGCCGAGCATTTCTATGGCAAACTCCCTGTCTTGCATAGGTCGAATGATGAAGAGTGGATTTTCGAGACTTGCTTTATCATTGGTGACTCTGCACTCGCACGGCGCCTGCCTGACATCGCTATCACATGGCTGCAGAGAGCGAGCGATCACTTGCAGTCCTTACACATGATGATTAAGTTTCCATATTATTATGATTGGGACTTGGTTATTCGACATTCTCTTGGTGGGTGGGTTGATCTAGTTGATGACCCGGACTAACATGCTGCAGTTGTGGCTTGTTCACAAGTCAAAATCCCTCTGGCAACCGCCATCTACGCTTTTGAAATGAGCTACTTGAGAGAAGTACGTTTGTGGTGAATGTGGTAGACTTGAAGCTGACCTTTTTAGAATTACCCATTTCACCCTGCTGTGATCCTTTTTGATCTATCTATGGGACATGGAAATCCTAGTAATGACGGGGCACTACAAGGTAAGACTGATCTTTATCTTGAATGGAATTGAATTAACAATATTGTTGTAGCTCTAGAGAGGCTGGTTGATGGCATGACCCTTACAGATATGAACATGCCGATGTGAGTTATCCCAATTATTTACTGTAATTTTTGATAAATGTTAATTGTGGATTTAGAATTTTCCAATATGCCCGATCTCTGGGTCATACAGGGTACCTTGATACACCTATCGGTGAGAGACTTTGCTGACAGTTCTTTAGTGGTTCGGATAACGGAATGGAAGCACTTCGAAGGCTGCTCATGCGCCCTCTGCCAGCAGGAGAATGGACAGAGAAATGCTTTGTTGCTTTTCTTCTACTTTTGAGCAGATCGGACTTGTCTGATTCTACGCGTATTCAGACCCTCCATGATGTGATTGACGCACTAGAGCGACGTGGATATCCATCTTTTAGCAGTAGGGCATCTCACGCCACATTGATTGTAAGGCAAACTCAAACTCTCATCATCTTCAATTCAAGGAGCTGACTATTATATACAGTGCATCTGGAAAATGACTGCTGGTGCAATTTCCCAGAATCGCCGCTGGAGTGCAAGGCTATGGCTTCAGTTGTGCAGTGATCCAAAGATCTTCCAACGCTGCTCCCTGCCCATCCAGATTGTGATACAAAAGTTAGTGGAACAAGAACTGAGATTTAACTAGCACTGTGAGCTGACATATTTCAGGAAGCTGCTTGCATATTACATAGAGACTGGACATCTTGCCGAAGCTCGTTGGTTAATCGATCGGGGTCTAGTCCAAAGTCAGGAAGATTGCCAAAGGATGTACTTGTCTTACAAGTTGACATTGCTGGAGGGAAAAAGCGGTGCTGGTACGAATATTCTATCGGAAACCAACGCTTCTGGCCTATTCTAACTATATGCAAGCGCATTTCTATCTCGGCTTTCCTTCGCACCCCGTGCCGCACAAGCAAATGAGCCTTCTTTCGTGCGCAATGGAAGCTCAGAGACAACACAAACCAGAAGAAGTCCTGAATTGTCTTGAACCATTTATCAACTGTTTGACTTCAGATGACATTTATCATCATGACTTTCCCGCCGCCGAACATCACATGTGAGAATGTTTCATATTTTTGACTTGCTATGCAAGGCTAACTTGCCTACTATAAATAGGTTTGCCATTACTCTTCTCTCCGAAGAGCTATCCAAGGGTGGCTTTAACCAGAGACTTGGCAAATGCATCGAGACTGTACTCGAAAGTGGTGCGTTTTCCCCCAGGCAATAGCAATTTGTGATGCTAATCATTCAATAGCCCTGTCTTATGCCAAAGAAAACAGCCTGTTTGAAGGTGGCGATCAGGAGGTCTCAGTCACTCAACTGGAATGGCTGTATTTGGCAACTTACAACGTTGCTCTGAAACTTATCAACTCTTCCGGATTCCTGTCGGCTACGCGTGCCTTAGATCACTCCAGAGATGTCTGTTTCGACCAGGCAAAGTTTTTGCTTGGCTATGTTTTACTAACATCTTTTCAGTTTGCGCTTCAGTATCGTCAGATTGAATACCCTGAGGGGGGATCCAAAGCACCCCGGCGGCATTTGTTTGCGGTTATTTACCTTCGTCTCCTTGTTAGCACACTTAGGGCCCGCTGTGCTGATCCGACTGCAAAGGTTAGTTCCAACAGTTCTTGTCTACAACATATTATCCCCCGAAAATGTTGCAACATTATAGTCCCATAATACTAACTGTCTGCAGAAACCGCACTACGAGGATGTACGCACTTGTTTTCAACAACTAGGTGACTTGCGTGGTTGGGAAGATGGAGAAGAGAGAGACGCTGGCGCAAATTACAAAGAAGAAAAGCACTATAATATTGCCCGATTTTTCAACCTTGAGGCTACCATGCACCTCAACAGGTGGCAGGATATCGTCAGGATATGTGCATCCGATGACACGATCCCTGATTCAAAGTTTTACCCACAGATCATGGATTTGACTCTCCGATTGAACCTACCACCCACACGGGCGATCTGGCTTATCAAGGTTCGTTGTTTCTTTATTACAGGGAGACTACATTCTTTGAAAAATACTCACATCCATACAATAGCGGATCATGTCGAAACTCAACGAGCTACGGGACGACCCCCCTACCACATGGCAACACGATTTCCGAGCCTCCCTCCCTCGTTACCTCCACTGTCTGTTCATACTAGCCATTGAACCGGACCCCTACGCAAGCACTGATAGAAGTGCCAATCTTGGTTTTAAAATGGCCGATGCTGAAGTTGCTGAAGAAGTGCTCGACAAAATCCTCGCAATGGCAGACGAAGAGGCAGCCGTTGCAGAGGAAAGATACGGTACACAGCACAGCCTCAATGCCATCCAGGTCAGGTCGGAGATGGATTATGTGTTTACATATCCAGCGGGGGAGTTAATCAATGTTGCTACCATGTCCTTCAACAAGGCTATTGACTTTTACCGTGCTACGCGGGACCAGGATTGTCAGCGTTGGGCGAACAAAGCCATTCGTATTGCCCAGCTTGTGCCTGGTGCTCAGGGCAAAGCGCTGGTCAACGTACTTCAGATCAGACTGGGAAGCTTGATTGGAGTTTGAGTTGGTGTTAGTGTTGGTGGGCTGGTTTGGGCTGGGGTGGGTATGTGGTTCAGATAAATTGTGACAAGGTGGAGGATTGTGTGTGTAGTGTGCTAGGTACTTGATATGAAATTGAAAAACTCAAATTGATTGTTCTTATGCTTTCCCGATCAAAAAGAAATATGAAGAGAAAGAAAGGATTGATCTTCGTGGCGAGATGGCCTATAGCCGAGTATAAATATGTGGGTATCATCAGAAGGGAAATGATCTCTGAGAAATCAGAAAGTAGAAAGGAAAATCGCCCAAGCCACAAAATCCAGTAGATGATGCAAAGATGCAATGGAACAAAAGGGAGAAATCAAGAGAATGCTCAAGCCAAGATGTCAGTAAATAAGAGAGGAGCAAAAAGAAAGAATCAAGGAAAGGCACTACGAAAGCGCCGTAGCAATTCCACGAAAGCCATAAAACACCAAAAATGCAGTCTGTAACTTTTCCGAAAGCAGACTAAAGATCCCCAATGAGATAACCCAGTTCATTCCTCCCCATGCGCATCGCAGGAACGGCTCCGCGAAGCCTGCCGCACCCCCTTGGACCGCAGCGACGGGGTAGACGGCATACGATGAGGGATACGAGGCAACTTGGGCATGGCCGAGTAGCTCTGTTTCGGCTCCCGCTCCATGTCCTTACCGCTACTATCCGTCTCTGTCTCGCCGCTCTCATCGCTGCTTTGTCTATGACCACCCACAATGCGGAGTGTGAGATTGAGCTCGCGCTCGAGCTCCTTTTGCGCTTGCATGCGCTGACTCGAGCCGTTGAGTTTCTTGCGATACACTCGCAGAGTCCGGCACAGCTGCTCTGTGGATGTGTCTAAGCTTCCGACCTCGCTGCGCGGGGTTGTTTTCCCGCGGTTGCGGAAGTCGATGGATGTGCGGCGGTTGCTGGTTCTTGCGGTGTGTGGTTTCCGGGGTGTTGGGGTTTTTGATTTTGGGCTTATTGGGGATGGGGACCGGCGGTGTCGGTCTTGCTTTGGGCCTGGTGTTGGGGAGAGGCGGTTTGGAGGGGAGGATCTTTCTGAGACGGCGTGGTTTTTTAGTGATGATGGTGCTAGGGATAGCCGAGACAGCTTGCGGAGTAGAGTTGGAGAGTGCTCGCGGATGGGTGTTGGTGTTGGGGGATTCGGGCTATCCGGTCGTTGAAATCCGGCGAGTTCGCTGCGGGAAAGGACTTTTCGGAGAGGGGGCCTTGCCGCTGTCATTTCTTTGACGGGGCATTCGTCATCCTCCCGTGTGTTTGCAAGGTCTGGGGAGACCTGTTGCTGGACAGATAGGTTCCATATCATCACAATCCCGTCCATACCGGCACTCACCACTGTGCGCTTGGTTTGGGACCCATCGGACTTATCACGCTCTTCCAGAAGTAACACATCGGTCACACCTTCTGTATGGCCAAATTCACCAGTGAGGAGCTGGTCTCGCTCTAGATCATAGACGCGAATAGATTTATCGGTGCTTGAAACACCTATAAGAACCTTCGGAGTCTGACCTGAGATCTCGGGGGCAACTGTCAAAGAGCCCAAAACCACCGCATCAGCTGTCTCCGAATCAGATGCCTTGAAAGAGTGAAGTTGACGGCCGGTTGGGATATCGAATTTCGAAACACAACGGTCCATGGTAGAAAGGTATAGAATGTTCGAGTCGTCGGGACAGAGTGTCATTGACACGGGGGAAGCCTTTTGAGTGATGACCCTTGAGATCAGATAGGCAACAGATGTGCCACAAGCCACCTCGCGTGTCGCGCGATTTCTTATGACAACGGTGCGATCTGCGGAGCACGAAAGCAATTTTTCGCCTTCGTTGATGAACAGCAACTGATTAACAGCCCCGACGTGATCGTCCATGGTTTGAATCAACTGCAACTCGGTGTCCCTTGTTTCGAATAGTTGCACCATCCGATCACGCCCAGAACTAGCTATCAACCAGGTATCGTCCATTTTTTGGATGGCCACATCCGTGATCTCTCCGCCATGGGCGCGCGCCTCGTTGAGGCAAGTCCAGTCGGCGTTCGAAAAGATTCTGCATCACAGTCAGCTAAAGAACATTCGGTTCATATCCTAAATTTGTACATACCTCAACACACCAAACTTGTCACCAGAGACAAACCAGTCCGCATTCTCAGCGGTCCTCAGAACTTTGAGTTCGTTTGCCGCATCGTCTTCTTTTCCGGGAAATTGGTCGAGATCGATATTCTTCGATCCTCGACACTTCCCTTGTGCATCCCAAAAGTTCACCGTACCATTGCGAGACCACGTGAAGAAGTCTGCAGACAAGTTATTGGGAAAATCCATGCGACAAATACCGAGAATCGGGTCCCGATGGGCCGGCATGGAAGCCTCGCCTGCCTCCTGTTCACCATCTTCACCTAGAGTGTCAATCGGGTAGACATGAATCGCGCGGGTTGATTCAACAGTAACCAGATGAGAACTAAGAGACCCCATGCAAGTGATCGCCGGTGCCTTGCCTTTCTTGTCAAGTGCACTCTTGTCAAGGCGCGCAGGAGACGTCGGCGTGGATGTTCCACGTAAGACTTCAAATGATAATCGCTGCATTTGCCTTCCTCCTCCACCTACCCAAATGGACTCCTGGTCAAAGTCCACGGCCAACGAAGTGATGCTAAACCCAACTTGCTTTACCGTGATCATCTTCTGAGATCCTTCACGATCATCGAAAAAGCAAACTGCGCCTGAATCTGTGCCGATTACGGCCTCATTTTGGGAGATACTGCTCACACAGGTGAAAGTGTTATCGCCCAGGGTGCCCAGTAGACAATTCCTGCCGGTAAGTGCTTTTGGAGCAAAACTGGCCGAGGGGGCAGCTACCTCGACATTCAAACGTGACTTGGTTGGTGAAACAGGCCGAATCGCCGTGGGAAGACGCCAGACCTTAACATGTCGCAGGCCGGTCCTAAAGAAAAACATTAGTTGGCTGCTAAGTATCACCATCCGATCAAACGTACGTGACCAAAGTATGGCCGACCCAGCACATATCATTGATAAATGAGGTGCATTTATTCGCAGAGTGTAATTTGGCCGAGCCATTCTTGAGGTTTACTGTCCACATAAAGAGAAATCCATCGTTCGGATTTCCGAGTGTTGCCAAATATTGAGAGTCTGGGCTAAATGCCAGACTGCGAACACCAAAGGTATGCTCGTTCAGAATGGATAGAGGAACATCCGGTAAGGCATCTCTCGCCGTCGAAAATATCAAGACTCGAGGATTATAGCCAGTCTTGACGTCGTTAGCTGCTGTTGTTGTGGCAATAATTTATATCTCGACTTCCCACTTACCTCTCCCACTGCAAGGAATCTTCCATTCGGGCTGATCGAAACACTCGTCACTGCTTTGATTCTTTCCCTCGAAGACCATCCACGTGGACTGCCGATGTCGATGACTTCGCTCGACGGAGACCCATTGACATTGAGATGCGGATTCGACCGGATATGGGAAAGGGATCGTGATCTTGGGTCCGGGCTGCCCGGGGAGTCGACTGGTTGTAAAAAGAAGTTGACGGGTTGACACTCGTCGCGGAGGGGCGGGCTCGGAAGAAGCGTTGTGTTATGTTGTCGTTCTCGTCCAATTCTGCAAGAACCGCTGCCGATCCAGCACATAGCGCAAAGCTTCTGCTCTGATCATGGCTTGAAAATCCGTTTGGAGTTGTTGTTGTTGTGCCGATGACGGTTTGGAGGGACAAGGAGGATTGGTGAAGGGTCTTGCTGGGGGTTCGTGTCCCTGGTCGGAGGACTGGAGAGTTCGAAGGAGTGATTTTCAAGGATGCGCTGGGTCCAGCAAGCTTGCTTTTTGCACTGGGGTGAGCGGTGGTGGCCATATCCTCGGGGAGGCGGTCGGCGCTTCAATGTCCTCTAAGAGCGTGGGATATTTGCATGTCAAGCAAAGTTCATCAGACAGGTTTGAGGATGCCAGTGAGGCTGTAGTAGGCGTCCGGAATTTTTATGTCGGAGAGTCGGTCAGGAGACAGTGTGGAGGATTGGTAGAATTAGTGGGGGCAAGCTAGGATGAAGCTCTGATCAGCTAAGTCCGATCTCTATCCACACACACATCTATAACTCACCAAAAGAGGGTATAGGACGAGAAAAGTCAACAAACACGAAGCTCATTCCGCAGTAAAGCAGATCATTCCAGTCAGAGGAATTTGAACCTTCTGGATGCCCCTGGCTCCATGGGGTTATTTGGGCTTTTTGCTTGGCTTCTGATTGGCCTCTTGAATTTGAGGAATTACCGGATTCTCACTTTTGAGACCGGAGGACTTCCTTCGATCTGCGGAAAAGCGTGATATGAACGGTGGGTCGTGTACGCACAGGTCGCCGCACTACCCGCACCATCGGCTCAGCGTGAGCTTTAATGGGAGTATGCTATACTCCATACGTTGGACGTAATTAAATGGCAAGATCACATCAGATCAGATCAGATCAGATCAGACCCAAGGGAGGCTCATGGGAGGTTCCACTACCGAAGGCCCACAGCTCCGATTGCTCGTCCGATCGTTGCATTAATCTTGGAAGTTTCCTCGATTCGATCTCACGTGCCTGGAATACGATCTCGTGCCCCCCGATGCCCTAATCTCACTGGCATAATTCGACCTGTCCATTGCGATACATCGGCAGCTCCGGTATTGAACTTCTTGGCACCCTTACATGTCCATTTCTACCAATCAGGTAGATCTGTACCCCGTAAGCACGAAGACCTCTGCACATGTGGGATCTAACCCGTGACAATCTCCTTCAAATTCCCATCATCAACGTAGTAGCTCTCCCTGGAATTTCTCTGGAATTTCTCAGAAAGCTCCATGTTGAAATGCAACCTTCACAGGTCAAGATAAAGCGAGTAGTCTTGGTAAGCTTTGGAAGGAAGGTTCCGGGTAGTTATCCCCATATCATATGACTTCCTATTATGTGTCCTTTTTGGTGTCTTTCATATTGCTTTTTGCAGGATTCTGATACTATCATGTGGCTTTAGTGTTCTAAACTACCACATAGAGTTGACCATAGAGCATATACACTTGTAGAGTATCAATTAAATGCACTTAAAGCGTATACATATCGTAGGCAACTTGATACAATTGTAGAGGTAAAACTATACTGCACTTTCAAGATACTACCTGGTAATACTAAGCAATGAGAGCGATAGACGCAAAGTGAGAGATTGCAATAAATGGGGAAAAGAATGAAGGTCATATTTTATATCTTGGGTTATTTATTACTACCTGCATATCATCATTCGTAGCCTTTAGTATGGAATATATAGCAGACATGAATAGCCCTATGGTCTTATATGAGAGACGTACAGCTTATATTGCCGAGTTATTTATTTCTTGCTCTCTCCCCCTGCTACTCTCTAATGTCTGATGTCACCATGTCTGTTCAATTAGACAATCGCCAGTCAATTATTGACTATTGCCGTTCTTATGCAGAGTATCAACTTATTGAAGGCACGAAGTATGGCAACCAGGTCGTTAAACTACTACCGGGTTGTGACTTGGTGGTTAAGTTCGGCCGTTAAGTCTCCCCCTACGAGGTAAAGAATAAAAGCGTAAAAAACAATCAGATACCATTATAGTCCCTTAGGTTCGTTAATTTCTTATAGGCAATGAGGGTTGGGGCTATATAGTATCGGATTTATTCCGGGCAAGACTATTGATCCTCTTCTGAACTCTTACATTTAAAGACTCGCCAAAATTCTTGAGTATTTTCACTCTATTACCGCCGATGGCGCTGGTAGCCTATGTGGTAGCCCGTCAATTGACTTACTCTGGCCAGAGTCATATCTAGTAACTGGAGGAATGGTTCAATAGCCGGCTTTTCCCTAAATATGGCAAAGTTCAATTTGATCTTAGCCTATTGGTATTTTATCATTTAGATATAGCCCCTCGAAAGCTTCTCTGGTTAGATGGTGGCCGTCTTTGTATATTAGACTGAGCATCAGCAGGGTTTTATCTGAGATCATTGGAATTTGCCAGTCTATTCTTTCAAGAATATCATTTCAGCCAGACGCTTCTGAATGCCGTCGGTTTTGGCTCTGGCGTGAAAAAGAAGAGCAGCAGCTGCCAGGCATTGTACAACACTGAAAGGTAGTCCTTGTAAGTCAGCAGAATTGCTTGTCTCTGTGAACAATGCTGATCTGAAAAACAGTCGTTCGAGGGACATTTTAGAAGGGTCTTCGCACCATCGACCAGCTGATTGTATATTTCCTCTTCCGCTACTACCGGAACCACAAAAAAACTTCCGAGTTGATAAAGGGACAACCTTAGAATGGTAATGCCTAGGTAGTGTCCCATGGGACTAATCAGATTACAAGATGAGTGTTAGGGCAGGATCGATGTTGGTACAACTTAAGTGGCTTTGTGATTGCAATGTATATAGTTCTGGTGTTTAGCAATTTTCAACACGATATGCAACACTTGGTCTTCTAAATTGATTTATAGTGTTAAAAATTCTTATCAATAGATATTGACAATAAAATCCAACAACGACTATCTGTATGTAGTTGCTGAGATACAAGGAGGTCTTGCTATGTATTTTGGGGCTCGCTTGTTAGTGCTCTTATCGCCACCTGGATATTTTCTCTTCGATGACCTCGGGAACTTCCAGATCTCACATTATCTATCAACTTTGCTCTGCTCGTCACTCCCTTTTTTCATTCATCTACAACATATTCCCAAGATGGCTAAATGCGCTGCCTCATCGAGGCTGGCCTTGCCTGCCGTTCTGCGCAATGTTTTCCGCTCTCAGCTCACCAGCGCTTCTTCAATAATCTCCTATCGCCGACCTCTTGCCTCCGGTCCTCTCTTCTCCTTGAACATCCACCTTCAGAGATCCTTCAGTTCAATCCCGCGCTTGCGTGATTCTCAGAATGATCAACAAATACCCGCAGCCCCTGAAACCACGGCTGTCGCCGATGACACCGTGCCTTCTCAACACAAAAAACCAAAGAAAGATTACGACTCATTCGGCAAGACAGGTGGTTGGAATACTCATAAACGCCACCCCAAAGACCAACGAAGGGACCCCGATAGTACCGGAAGAACCGACAGAGAGCGCAGAGCTTTCCGCAACGAGACTCGCAGGGAGGTGAAAAAAGAACCTCGCAGGGATTGGCAAGACAGAGCCGAAAAATCGAAACAGTTCTCAGAGAACAGGGGAAAGAGAAAGCCCGAGAGCTGGCAAGTGCAAAAAGCCGCTCTGAAGGAGAAGTTCGCCGGTGGTTGGAATCCACCCAAGAAGCTTTCACCTGATGCCCTCGATGGCATCCGACATCTTCACGCGAAGGCACCCGAACAATTTACGACTGCTGTCCTCGCAGAGGAGTTTGAGATGTCTCCGGAAGCTATTCGCCGAATTTTGAAGAGCAAATGGCGCCCATCGGAGGACGAGATGGAGAGTCGGCGCAAGCGATGGGAAAATCGGCATGATAGAATCTGGAGTCGTATGGCTGAACTTGGTCTTCGCCCTTCGACAAACCGCACGCGGAACCTTTCGGATTTCCATGTGCTGTATGATGACAACAACCGCGAGCGAAGATAGTCGTCTGTGTACATGATACCATGTTATATATGGGGTTTTAAGTTGCGCTTGTTCAATAAATAATATCACCCAGAAGAAACAACATATTTCTTATAACTAGTATGTAGTTGGTTGCAGTACGGAGTAGGGTGGGTATCATGGCATTTAGCCCGTAGTTCGGGGTTTAGTTCGGGTCGGAGCTAGGAGCAAGGATATCGTCGCCACGCAACTCCCCCGGCAACACATCTCAACTCTCCAACCAGCATGGTTCATTCGAGGTGACAGAATGCTAGCGGCGGCACATTTCACCAAGCTTCGACCCAACTACAGCTCAACGTGCCGACAATTCCCCCCAGACCTTGGCCCTCGAACCGCAGCCCACATGCTGAGACAACCGCCATGCCATCCAACATCCAAGTCTTTGTGAAATGGAAGGACCAGACTATATTTGCAGGAGAGGATGTGGAATGTACTGTAACATTCAAGAACGTGGCCGATACTGGCGCCGATGCCAATAATGCGGGTGAAGGACAACATTCACGGAAGGTCTCTCGAGTCGCAAACCACACACCCAAGTCGAACTCGGAATCTTTCTTCGGATTCAAATCGCCCCAGGCTCTATTTTCCGGACGGCGATCATACTCCATCAGCTCCCAACGGAAGCCTTATCACCGGACGGCCTCGTCCCTGAGCTCTTCGTTGGTCGGCTCCCATAGCTTTCCTCCGAACAGCGGCCCCTCTACACCGCGAGAATGGCAACAAGGCCACAACCATAAACGATCCGTCTCAATCCTCTCCATTGATAGCGAAGGCCAGACCGATCCGACGCCTTCTCCTTACAATCGACGTCAGCCAGCCAGGGGTCATGGGCGCTCGGCGAGTCTCCAGGTTCTACCGCGGAGGAACAATAGCTACGAGGATTCTTACAAAAAAGGTAGATGATGGACAGTGAAAAACATGCTAAGGGATTTTCAACTAATGAGTGTCTCTTATCAGCGAGAACTCCCTCCCATATTTCTCCATTTCCATTGACAGAGGCTCCCAACGAGCATCCCAATGGCAATCTGAGAGTCGATACCTCCCACTTGGGGCGAGCCACCCAACCTGGCTCTCGCGCGACGAGTCCAACAGGTGCCATAGAGCCATTGCGTCCACCTTCCCGACGGCCCCAACCACCTCCCCTCGATTTTAAGTTTCCGCCCGCGGCTTCAGCCGATTCGACTAACAGTCGCACCGTGCGTACCCCATCACCAAAGTCGGCGACAACGAACGGTACATCATCAACCGGGGGAAGACCCACTCTCAAAGATGTACAGGGTCTATCTGGACCGGCGCATCAGCAACTAACTCGGATCATATCAGTCACAAGCGTGAATGGGAGCAACCGGAGCAGTGGGGAGTTCTACTCCGTCAGCGACCACTCCACCGAGACCCTTGGATCAGAATACACGAATTATTCTCTACAGAATGCGCGAGCTCCCCCGTGCGGCATGCGCGGCATCATTCGAGCGTAGTTGCATCTCCTGCCAAAGCCTCCAACAGCCAGGCGCTGCTGATGGGCTATGCGCAGGTTAACGCATCATTCACGGTCGATGGTTCGTTAGTGAACCAGTCCGCCTTCGACGAAGTCAAGCGAAAGGGAGTTGTTGGTGGCCAACCGAGTTCAGGCGGACTTCCTGGCCGCCCAACGCCAACAGCCGAGCGACCACGTAAGAGCGGTGGGTTCTGGGGCGCACTCAGATGGAACACTATCGAGGAATCTATCAATGGCCTTCTTTCAAATAACGAATTGGACGGATTACGAGAAATGCGTGGTGTTACATCGTCGAGATCAATTCCGCTGTTGTCCACCTCGCAGTCGCTGCTTTTTGTTGACCTCCGACTGGCACCAGGAGAGGAACAGTCATATTCCTTCTCTTTCTCCCTTCCGAAAGGACTCCCGGCAAGTCATAAAGGAAAAGCAATCAAGATCTCATATAATTTGGTCATTGGAACTCAGCGGCCTAGCGGGCCTAACGAACCCCAAAAGGTCAACCGCATCAACATACCCTTCCGTGTTTTCAGCGGCGTGAATGGTAAGTTACATTCTTTGCTTTTCCTTCCATCCCAATTTCTCACATCCTTATAGAAAAGGGAGACATTCTTGGCCATGACTTGATGTCACCTTATGTACTTCTACGGGATGAAGCGAAGGTCCAAAAGGTTGGGCCAGTGATGCCTGTGTCAACGAAGAACCAAAGTATCAGCAAGCCTCACCATTCCGCGGCTGACTTCCTTAGTTTTGTGGATGAGATCTTGGAGCAACGTGCGCGTTCCAACACGCTGTTCCCACCTGGTGCTACGCCCTCGAGACGACCTAGCGTCGAAGGATTACCCCAGATGCTTACTTCCAAGGATGTCATCGACATTGCTATCCTTCGCAGCAACCAGGCTGTGAACTCTCGCCGCAGCCCCAATCGGTTCGAGATTGCCCGCGAGGGTAAACGTATCGCAGTGGTCGTCTTGAACCGACCAGTTCATCGACTTGGAGAAACCATTATCGCCACAATGGATTTTGGAGATGCTACAATTCCATGCTACGCTGTGCGTGCCTCGTTAGAGACGTCCGAAAAAGTCACCCCTACTTTGGCCATCCGGTCAAGTGCCAGCATTCACCGAACCACACGGCGCATCCATGCTTCTCTGTTTGAGAACACACTCCATGCCACCCGAGTGGCTTTCAGCCCTGCTATCCCCATCACAGCGACGCCTTCAATTTTGACGAGCGGTGTGACCCTCGATTGGGAACTACGATTCGAGTTTGTGACATCCAGTGTTCGAGGCGATCAAGGGGCCCCACCATCAGGCACTCGCTTACTCGAGGCCTTGTCGTCGGATGATCGCGGTACAGTGCTGTCTGCCATGGAGCATCTGAACTGTGAATCATTCGAGATCGCTATCCCGCTGACAGTCTATGGAGAGACTGTTCGAGAACGATTGCCCGAGGAGAATGAAGGCTACCCAATCTAGAACTCCGGATGTACACCACAGGTATACCAGATGCACATGTGCTTGCCTGCTGTGCAGGTTATGCTTGATCCTATTTTGATTAAATATTCCCCTTGTGCCATCGAGGGCGAAACCCCCAGAAATATAGGCCCCACCAGGCTCTGGACTCCCATGTATAATTGATACTATATTTGAATCGGAAATAACGACGGCGCTACTGCTACCAAGTATGTAAATGTAAAATATATCTTATACTAGTCTGTGACGTAGACGCGGTAACTGGGGCAACGCGGTCAGTCAACCGATCGGATCTGGGCACTTTATGAACTCTGGTGGAGCTGAAACCCGATAACATCTCTCTCCTTGCGCTTCTCTCGAACATATCATCCAGAATCATTGTCAGGTAGGTTCATTGGCATTATCTGCATGTCAGCGCGTCTATTCATCTGATGGCGTCCCTCAAATATCGGACAGCGACTGGTATCTGACATTGGAATGCAGGCACATCGCGATCAGCGCAAACCCCGCCGGAATACACCCCTACCGAAGGGATTACTTTTTTTTCTCGAGCCTGAGAGAATATGGCTTCGTTCATCACCACCATGTCTGTCCCCGCTACCCCTCCTGCTGCCCATTTCATTTCCCCTGGGGAGCCTGCCTCTCGCTCCCCGCAAGCACTCCCTTCCGTCATCAGCCCTTCCGTCATCAGCCCTTCCGTCGTGTATCACACTACTCGCACTTCCCATCTCCCCCTCTCGGAGCCTCCATCTTACCTGTCGCCGGCAGTGCGCGCACTCAAACAGGGCTGTTTTGGACTAACACCTCCCAGCAATGCACGCACACGCGCCCCCTTCAAGCCCCGCTCGTCCGCCAAAGGCACAAACAGTTATCAGCTACGACAGTTCGCCGAGGCTACACTTGGAAGTGGTAGCTTGCGCAAAGCCGTGAAGCTGCCCGAAGGCGAAGATCAGAATGAATGGCTCGCCGTGAATGGTAAGAAACATCTTGCGGAGTTGTACTGGGGGTATCTGCTGATATTTTGGCGATCTAGTGGTCGACTTCTACAACCAGATCAACCTTCTCTACGGCTCAATAACTGAGTTCTGCTCACCGCAGACATGTCCCGAGATGAAGGCTACAGATGAGTAGGGTGCTTCCTCGACAGCTCGTTGACCCCGGCTTACACGTTTGGATAGGTTCGAGTACCTCTGGCAAGACTCGGAGAACTTCAAGCGGCCAACCAAGATGTCCGCCCCGGAATACATCGAGCATCTGATGGCCTGGGTTCAGAGCAACGTCGACAACGAACAAATGTTCCCTAGCCGAATCGGTGTCCCATTCCCCAAGACCTTCCCCAGTCTTCTCCGCCAGATCTTCAAGCGTCTATACCGTGTCTACGCCCACATCTACTGCCACCATTACCCAGTGGTAGTGCACCTCGGCCTCGAGCCTCACCTCAACACCAGCTTCAAACACTATGTCTTGTTCATTGACGAGCACAAGCTGGCTAGCGGGAAGGATTTCTGGGGACCGCTGGGTGATTTGGTCGATAGCATGTTACGCAGCGACTAAGGATTGAATCGGGATATTGGGAAGTAATTGTGTTTTGCATCTGATCTCCGCAGTCAGGGATACTGGCTGTTCTACGGAAAGGTGTCTTAATGGCGTTTCGGGTGCGGCATGCATTGCAGTATTTTAGCATGGGCTTTTGGCGTTGGGGGCTTGACCTGACGCGAAGACCGAAGCGATGAATCCATGTATTTTTTTTTCTGATTTTTGGTAACAAGAACGCTTCGATGCTCATTGTACTCCGTAGGTTATCGCAGATTGGATCTCCTTTGTAGTCTCGCGGGAAGCGGACGACAAAAAGAGACAACCACATTGTTATCCTTCTCTCTGTTGAATCCACTCTCCATACTCCGTAATAGCCTACGACTACAATACCCAATCATTGTTAGGCCACCAGATGCACTAGTTAAGCCTATTATGCCGCTAATTCGTGATTTGATCAATCTCATGTTTCCCGCTGCATAGTTGACCCCGAAACTCGACGGATCTCCAACATTACTAGCATAAATATCGAAGTCCTTTGAGAGTCGAAGATATGCCCAGCCGCCAAGCAATTATACAAACACGTGACTTGGTCCTTGTGTGCGTACACGTGACCACGGGAACATTCGGCCCGGAGGTCTCAACCTTGCATCCTTGAGAAGCAAGCACTCCGAACGTCGATATCACCTCCTCATCCAACCCCTCTGCGTCTCTCCTCCCTCCTCGAGGCCAATCCTCTAGCCAATTGCACAATGATCTCCGCTCGCTTCGCCCGCGCTGGCCTGCGTGCCGCCCAGTTCTCGGTTCCTCGCACCGCCGCCGTTAACGGAATCAGGACCTATGCCACCCCGGCCCAGGATACCCGCGCCCCCGTCGCTCTGTTCGGCGTTGATGGCACTTACGCCTCTGCTCTGGTATGCACCTCCATTGCCTCGGTCTTGTCGCGACCGTGTGCTTCGCCTTTTCGCGACGAACACCCCGTCTTTCCCCGACCCCTCCCACAGTTGTGTTCCACTCTTCAAAAGCAGTGTTCAAATCCTCATCAAAACACCGCAAGCAAAAACCCGGAATGAATTACCCGTCTAACCATCCTCGTGAATAGTACACCGCTTCCGCCAAGTCCGCTGCTCTCGACCAGACTGCCCGTGCTATCGCTAACCTCGGCGAGACCCTCAAGGGTGACAAGAAGCTCGTCGGCATCCTCAGCTCCCCTATGCTTACCGACGAGGACAAGAAGGCCATCGTCGAGGAGCTCTTCAAGGTCGCCGGTGCCGACAAGGCCGACAAGGCCGGTGTCGTCAAGAACTTCCTCCAGACCCTCGCCGAGCACAACCGTTTCAGCTCCCTCGAGGGTGTCTGCGAGAAGTTCGCTACCCTGATGGGCGCTTACCACGGCGAGATCGACCTCCACATCACCAGTGCTCAGGTACGCCCTCCATGAGCTGTGTTTCACTCGCAGAAAAAAAAAATAAGGATATAAGCTAAAAGTTTGTCCGCAGGAGCTCGATGCCAAGACCATTAACCGTCTTGAGAAGGCCATTTCCAAGTCTCAGTTCAGCCTGGGTAAGAAGCTCAAGGTTATTACCAAGGTTCGTTACAATCGATGGAATTCATATTTTGTGGCTGTTTACTAACTCTATTGACCAGGTCAACCCTGACATCGTTGGTGGACTCATCGTTGAGATTGCCGACCGCACCGTCGACCTTAGCGTTTCTTCCAAGATCGCCAAGATGAACAAGGCTCTTTCCGATGCTGTGTAAATGTAAATTAGCCTCAGTGTTTGAGGGGATGGTTAGATTATAGCATATCGTCCCGGATGAACGGTAGCGTTCGTAGGGGAAAAGGGGGATTCTAAGATTCCACTTTCTACCTCCATTTTGTTTTGTTCTCATTACTTCAATTGCACAGATTCATCTATAAATGATGTCTTATAGATCGATGTTTGCCTGAGTCCTACAAGGTACGGTAGGCGGCTTGTCTAGTGGGTTGATAACTTGACTCAATCTGTTTACCTTGATGTTTGCCGTCCCTTTCGTATGTCTGGACCCGAATTGCCGTTCTGATCGCTGGTTAATCTGCGCGATGACTTTTTTATTTCTATATCTGACTTGTAGGAGTGCAAGAGCGGTATGTGATACACCCACAAGGCGAGCAGCTATGTCCCTTCTATTTGGGAGCTAATGATATCATTGACGTCTACTTCGCTATCAAATGCTCTAGAGATCAAGACTATGCTCCGAAATGCCATGTATGAATGGGTTGGAAATGATAGATAGCAGGAGATGCAACACATGTAAAAAAGGGAAGAGTAAGCACAAAGAAGATCGTGACTGTCGTGTCCAGAAGCAACCAAATAGGAAACCGGCCAGCAGAGAAGAGAAAGAAGAAAGACAGATATCAAACGAGGACGACCGGAATGCAAAAGTTAGACAGCATCCAAAGCCGAAGAGACTGCCCCATTCTACTAATTATCCCTGTCAACCTGCGTCTCAAACTCATCCTCGTACGCAGCAATCGAAGCAGAGCTGCGCACTCTCTGCAGCTGACTCTCCACATAGTGATTAACATGATCTTGGGCATCAGCGTCCGCAGTACTACCCCTGCGACTGGGCCCACGACTAGGACCACAACTCTCACCATCATCATCCAAGACGGTCGACGCAGCGGGCGTAGCATCGCCGGAGTAGAAGTCACTCCGGTTCCCGATGGAGCGAGTAGTCGACGAGCGACGAACAGACGGACGGCCCGAGCTGCGCGGTCGTCCAGAACGGGAGAAGATGTCGTCGAAGTAGTGCGACGCGGCGGCGAAGGGCGACCGCGGCGTCTGCGGTAGACGGCAGTTGATACCGGTGTCGTGGATGATCTTTGCGATGAGGCCTGTCCATCCGCACTGGTGCGATGTCCCCAGCCCGCGGCCGTTGTCGCCGTCGAAGAACTCGTGGAACCAGAGATTGTCTTTCCAGTGCTCGTCGAAATCGAGGAGGTCCGAGCCGCCGTTTACGGCGCGGCGGCCTTCGTCGTTGCGGGCGAAGAGGTGCTGCATGCGGTGCTGCAGTTCTTCTGCTACGTGGCCGAGGTTCATGTAGTCCCCTGAACCCGTGGGACACTCGACTTTTAGGGTGTCTCCGTAGAACATGTGGAAGCGGAGGAGGGACTCGACGAGGAGGAAGTTGACGCAGAGCCAGATCGGACCGCGCCAGTTGCTGTTACCGCCGAAGAGGGAGGAGTCAGAGTCGCCCGGGACGTAGCCGACCTTGAAGGTTTGGCCGTTGACGTCCATGGAGTAGGGGTGGTCTTCGTGGTACTTGGACATGGAGCGGATACCGTGCTTGGATAGGAACTCTGTTTCGTCGAGCATTCGCTCCAGGATCTTGACGAGACGGTCCTTGCTGACAAGGGCCAGTAGGAGTCGGTCGTCTTTGCCGCGGCGCTTCATGCTGGCAATGTTGCGCTCGGCTATGTCTGGTTT